GTATTAGTTCAACGAACAACTAAGTTTGATTTTCCGGAAAGATCGATCGACGATGTAAGGGAAAATTCACAAGAGGACAATGCTTTTATAAGAAAGGTTAATCAGACAATAAATTTTGAAAACGGACATTATACTATTGGTTTGCCTTTTCGTGACGAGTTTATTTTGTTACCTAATAACAGAGTGCAAGCAGAGTGTCGATTAAATAGTCTTCAGAACAAAATGCGCAGAGACACTAATTATTGTAATGACTATATTAAATTTATGACTAAAATTATCTGCAATGGCTATGCAGAAGTGGTACCAGATAGTCAAGTCAACAGAGATGATGGGCAAGTGTGGTATATCCCACACCATGGTGTGTATCATCCAAGAAAACCAGGCGAGTTGCGAGTTGTTTTCGATTGCACAGCCATGTATGACGGTATATCGCTTAATCGGCAGCTACTGCAAGGTCCTGATATGACCAATACATTAACAGGTGTTTTAATTCGCTTTCGACAGGATAATACAGCTATTATGGGTGACATAGAAAAAATGTTTTACCAGGTTCGAGTACCCGAGTGTGACCGTGACTTTTTGAGGTTTCTATGGTGGCCCAATGGAGACACTAGTTGTACGCCAAACACATATAGAATGGTTGTTCATCTCTTCGGTGCTGTGTCATCCCCGTCCTGTGCGAATTTAGCTTTGCGCCAAACTGCAATTGACAATTCCCATTTGTTTGATGACAATATAGTTTCTTCAATACTTAAGAATTTTTACGTAGATGACCTACTTAAGTCATTAAAAGATTGTTCAAGTGCTGTAGAATTCGTTAAAGACATTTGCGCAATATGTGAAAATGGAGGTTTTCGCCTTACAAAATGGGTGAGTAACGAACGCAATGTGTTGCATGCTATACCCGTTAACGAGAGAGACAAGGACATAAAAGAATTAAACCTCGACTGTGAACTTTTACCAGTAGAACACGCACTAGGCATTAGGTGGGTGGTAGAAAGTGATGTTTTGAAATTTAGTGTGAAGCTAGATAAGTTATCAGTAACAAGACGCGGAATATTATCTGCAGCTAGCTCTATATATGACCCACTAGGTCTCGTTTCACCTTTCGTTTTGCCTGCAAAGTTGTTGCTACAATCACTTTGTCAACAGAATCTAAATTGGGATGACGTAATACCTGAGACCGATCTACATACTTGGCATCAATTCCTAAACAACCTGTCTGGCTTAGAAAATTTCAAGATTCCAAGAAGTTATAAACCGGCGAATTTTGGAAAGATTGTTTCGTCTCAAATTCATACCTTTTCCGATGCGAGTAACATTGGTTATGGTGCTGTAACATATATCAGACTCGTAAATGAAGACTGTAAAATTCATTGTGCGTTGATGTTTAGTAAATCTCGCGTTGCTCCACTTAAGAAATTAACTGTGCCACGATTAGAATTAACTGCAGCTACTGTTGCTGTTCGCTTGACTAATATGCTTGTGAAAGAACTCGAAATTCAAATTGATGATATGTTTTACTGGACTGATAGTATGTCAGTTTTACGGTACATTAGAAATGAAGGCGCTCGTTTCTTGACATTCGTTGCAAATCGTATTTCTGTGATTCATGATGGTAGTTCAGTATCTTCATGGCGGTATATAAGCACTAAATTGAACCCAGCTGACGACTGTTCAAGGGGATTAAACTTTGATAGTAACGTAAGAATACAACGGTGGTTTAATGGACCCAGATTTTTGCTGAAACCAGAGAATGAATGGCCTGTCGAAGAGGAATTCTCTCCAAGTACTCCTACTGATGATTTAGAAGTGAAGAAAGTTGTTACTTCGACTGTTTTGAACACTGGTATTATAGATAAACTTTTCTGTCATTTTTCGTCTTGGGATAAGTTGAGAAGAACAGTTTCTCTATTACTGTTATATTTTGATAAACTGAAATATTGGTCTAATAAAAGAAAGGATGTTTATCACAGTTTAAAGGACAGTGGCACAGAAAAGATGAAGAAATTAAAACTAACGTCTACGAAAGTAAGTCCGATCTTTGACTTGGAATTAATTCAAAGAGCCGAAAACTCGATATATCGGTGCGTTCAGAATCAACATTTTAAAGATGAAATAGAAAAATTAGAGAAAAACGTGCCTATTAAGAAAAATAGTTCATTAAAGAGACTAAACCCATTTCTGAATAATGGAATGTTAAGAGTTGGCGGCAGATTAACTTTCTCAGATTTACCATATGAAGCTAAGCATCCGGTTATTTTACCCAAGGACTCTAAGGTGTCAGCATTAATTATAGATTATGTGCACCGTTCGTTAGGACATTTAGGCAAAAATGCAATTTTGTCAAAATTAAGAGAAACTGTTTGGATTACTAGTGCGTCATCATTAATTAAGAGTTTGACATCTAAGTGTGTTATTTGTAGAAAATACAAAGCTAAAGTTATGGATCAACAAATGGGCGATCTACCGTCTGAACGTCTTAAACCAGATGAACCACCCTTCACAAATGTTGGTATAGATTATTTCGGGCCTATCGAAGTAAAAAGAGGTAGATCCACAGTAAAAAGATATGGTGTTATTTTCACATGTTTAGCAACGCGTGCTGTGCACTTGGAAGTAGCGTATAGCCTTGACACCAGTTCTTGCATTAACTGTCTACGTAGATTTATCGCACGTCGTGGATCTGTTAAGTATATGATTTCAGATAATGGAACAAATCTTGTCGGTTGTGAACGCGAACTCCGAGAAGAAATTAATAAATGGAATGTTTCTACAATCAGTAGCGAACTTATACAGCAAAACATTCAGTGGGACTTTAACCCACCCTCTGGATCTAATTTTGGAGGAGTGTGGGAACGTTTGATCCGAACAGTGCGCAAGATTTTATATGGACTCTTAAAAGAGCAATTAGTAAGTTTCGATGATGAACACTTGCAGACTTTGTTTTGTGAGATCGAAGCTATAATGAACTCACGACCTATCACCAAGGTGTCAGATGATGTCAATGACCTCGAGGCCTTGACTCCTAATCATTTGTTATTGTTAAGAGCAGGAGAATCTTTACCAATAGGTGTGTTTGATAAAAGTGACAATTTCGCGAAACGTCGCTGGCGCCAAATTCAGTATCTTGCCAGTATATTTTGGAAAAGGTGGTCCAATGAATATTTACAACTCCTACAGGAAAGACAAAAATGGATGATGCCAAAAAGAAATATCTGCATTGGAGATGTAGTAATGATAGTAGATGGCAATATTCGCGATTCATATTTATTAGGACATGTGTTAAGTGTATGTCATGATCACAAAGGCCTAGTTCGAGTCGTTACAGTTAAGACAAAAAACAATGTATTAAAACGGCCTGTAAATAAACTGTGTTTGTTATTAGAAGCAGACATGTAATCCCTGTATAGATTTAAGTGAATTACTTTTAGTAATTTGTACTAAATATGTCTTGTGCCTGTAATAATGTCAGAGCATTAAATGTATATTACTGTTTTGAAATATTACTGATTATGAGATTACTGTTTGAAATATCACAGAGTATAAGATTACTGTTGGAATAACTGTTTATTAGTATATTACTGTTTTGAGAATAATACTGTTTGAGAATTACTGTTTTGAATATACTGTTTGGATATTACTATTTAGAATAACACTGTTTGAGATTACAACTGTTTTGAGTAGTACTGTTTAGAATGTTACTGTTTAGATATCAGTCAAGGATAGTAATCAATTACAACTGTTTGAAAGTTAATTGGTTGTACATTTGTAACATGTATTCCATCTTTTAGTCAAAATCATGTATATATGCTGAATGGATAATTTGCTCACTTCATAGAAGAATTTTTTGTAATCGTTCCTTGACTATACACGATTAGGAGGCCGGTGTAAGATGCAAATTATCACTTATTATCTTTTTATATATTTCTTTAATATTAATTTCGTTCCACAATATTTTGGTCTAAGAATGCATAAATTTTGATCAACTTTAAGCGAGAAGGTAGTCTAGATTATTTAGGCCTGTCATTGTTTTAGTTGACTTAATTTGCGCCTGGATGTAGGAGACTGTTATTTAATTGACAACTTGTTCGCTTAAGCAAGCGTGGTCTTCAGCACCAGTTTTGTAACGCTTGGAGGGCATAAAACACGGTAAGATGAATTACCGCAGCATATTAAGTTATAGTTTAATCTAATCCATAAGTTTTGTAATGTGTTATAGTCATATATTGTTATTATTCGATGATATTGACAGTCGACATGCATGACTGATTTATCACGTGGTTGTGCAGGTCCCAGAAAATTCCAGGCACTCATGCTATTTTATGTTTCTTTATTAAGATAGTTTATTGATAATTATTGTCAGGTGCTTGATTGGTTTATTTATCCTTTTCAGTCAATCACCACCTCTACTCTAATCACCATCACATCAACACCACCACCACCTCTACTCTAATCACCATCACATCAACACCACCGTCATCATTATTTATTAATGTAGCCTATGTCTCTAGTCTTGAAAGATCTTCGATCAACTGTATAAGATTTTGAGATGTATTAAACCTGTAACCAAATTAAACAATATTCTAAGAGTTTTGGTGCATTGTTGTTTGTGCCCTACAATTACCTCCCTTGTTTTCATATTGCCTTCATGCATTAGCTACCTTCAAATGTTGGAATTTGAAGTTGAAAATGATATTTTTGCCAATTTCTCAGCTGGCAATAGTGAATTATAGGATTAATAGGATTATTCTTTAACAAGGTAGCACGGTTTATGGATACCATCTATTTTAAGGCTTTATTTTAATAAATTTTAAAAATATAACTTAAAAATATGAAATTGTAGCTTTAAATAAAATTAAAACCATATATTATTCCCGAATTGACCTATTCTGTGTCAAGTGGATCTCTCTCTCTCTCTCTCTCTCTCTCTCTCTCTCTTTTTTTTACAGATTCAATTTTCATAATATTGTGGTTTGATAGGGGTTAAATATAGAATCAATGAGTGATATATTTTATTCTGATTTTTCTATATAAATAATATGAATTCATACAAATACATTTTATATACAACATAAAAATGAGTAAAACTAAAACATTGAATTATGCTTAAATTTGATTACTGAAAATACAAACAATCTTTAAAAGAGAAATGTACAATGGTGGGAAAAAAGTTCAACTGGACGGAACAAAATTCACATTTTAATTAGCGGTAATAATTTGAAAGGATGATCCAACTTTCTGAAAAAACAAACATTTTTGAAAGAGAAATGTAAAACGGTGGGACAGAAAGTTCAACTGGACGGAACAAAATTCACATTTTAATTAGCGGTAATAATTTGAAAGGATGATCCAACTCTTAAGCAAACTTTTTATTGTTTCTTAACTTCCTTGTGCCTTAATTAAACATATATTATGCAATAGCTAAATCTGCCTATTTGCAGGTCTTTCTTTAGGCCTGAAATGTTATCAATATTATTAATTAGACATTAATTAACTTATCCAGACCATAATCAACTCTCGATGGCATCGCTAGCCTGCAATGTTTATTGGATTAGGTTCCGATTTGCTGTTCAACTTAATCATGAAATGAATAATCGAGATATGTTTTTTATCGTACTGACTTCAGTATTGATGATCGAGGCTAGCCCCAAAATTCAATCGCTAAAATCTTGGTTCAGAGTGGATCAATTTGACTGAAATTTTCAGCAAATTCCCTTTACATTATCTAGTTTTTAACTATTATAGAGACAACTGTCAGCTCTTTGTCTAATCTCCCATAATGTATCTTTAAACAATGTGGTAGTTTATTCTTTAGATAATGCCTACTATAAAGACGTTATAAAAACGTGACTCAATGGTGCTCGATAACTATATGAATCACTGATTCAGTCAGATAATTACACAGTTTAAGGCCCTTGAACAAATAAATTTAATTAACAACTCTTGATCATTTCATTGTTTTAAGCCAGGCTTATGTCAACCTACGACGAGACAAAATTATCGGAAACTGCACTCATGTCACAATCCGATTAAAACACAGATCATATTTCATTCCTTTTTTATAGTTCAAAATTTTGTTTTATTTGTCTGTACTACACTAGGATCTGGAAGAGTTGTTATATAACCTGCATTCTGGATAGCATGAGGGATTAGCCAATGAAACCATCTGTTATGGCGACTTCTTGGCGTGTGATGCACGGGACTATGGTAAAACCACTAGAAACGTCAACGCTGATGGATTAATCAATGTCTGATGTCATAGGGTCAAAAGCAGCTCGTCCGACCCCTGACGTGACCTCCCAATATAACTGGTCAGATCTTCATGCAGTGTAGGCCATTGACTGTATAAAAAAAATGAAATGAAATGTAGATCTGTATTTTAATCAGATTGTTCATGTCACTACCTTGTCTTCTTCCACATTCTTTCCATTTCACAGTAGTATCAGATGACATGTAGCCAGTTCCAACTGAAACATTTATATTAGTCATGTCCATCTAAAGCTGGAGAGTGCTCATTAGTCCGCGGGTTCACTAGTCTGCGGGTTTATTAGTCCACTGATATCTATTATTAGGGCTAGGGTTGGGTTAGGGTACATTAGACCACCGATATTTATTTTTAGGGTTAGGGTTAGGTTTATTGATACACATATTAATAGTATTTCTTGTAGCGGCGGACTAGTGAACCCCTTTCCTAAAACTAGTTATTAGTCATCATAAGGGCCGCATAAGCCTGCTTCAGTACCTTTCAGTAGTTTCTTTACAGAATCTCAAATACTTGTAAACTAATCAAAATTTGTCAATATTTTTAAATGGATTTCAGATGAACGTTACTATAACAGCATAAAATAAACATAAATAACATTTCTCAACATTCTATTCCAAAACGATCAAAGTTTCTAAGTATGAGTCCAAGTCGTAGATGAACTTTTCCCATGGCTATTGTGTGTAATTTGTATCGGTCAGCACCACTGTATATAAGGTCAGGATTTTTTAATTGAGGTCCTCCACCAAGGAAGAATTGTGAAATTTGTTGAAAGAAGGTTCCTGTTGGTCTCCATGTTGAACATTCTATTTCATGGACTCCTGGTGATGTTGGAAGATGACAGAAACCATACCCATACAACTCATTTCTTCCATACTGATCTTGGTGCCAAACTTGAAAATGAATTTTTGGCCAACCTGCAAAGAAACAATCCCATATTAATATCGTTATTATTATCTATATTTAACACTGTCTACATAGAAGTGTTCCAAAGTAGGCTAACTGAATACCAATTTAAAAGCCTGCAGATTTTCTTTACAGGGTTTTAATAGAGGGTGATTATATCATCCAAAACTTCTGCTCATGTATGTTTATTTACAATTACAATCTCATAACACAATTTAAATAATACTGATAATGGTGAACAGGTGGATATATTTCATTGTTCGTTGCAATTTTTTATTTTCGGGAACACTTTAACAGCAGATAATTAAAATGAAGAATGATCTTGATGAACCTCAATCTGATTAAAACACAGATCCTATTTCATTTCGATTTTTATAGATCAAAATTTCATTTTACTTGTCTTTACTACACTAGGATCTGGAAGAGTTGTTATATAACCCGCCTTCTGCTTGATGTGAGGGATTAGCCAATGAAACGGTCTGTTGCAGCGAGTACTTGGCATGCGATGCATGGAACTAGGTATCCTACTAGAAACATCAACGCTGATTGGTTAATCAAATGTCTGACGTCATAGGGTCAAAGCCGCTTGTATGACCCCTGACGCGACCTCCCACTACAACTGGTCAGATGTAGTAGAGGCCATCGAAAGTTTAAAAAAAAAACAAGCAAAATATATATCAGTATTTTAATTAGATTGTGACGAACCTATAAACCTTGTACATGTATCCTTGAAAAAAAAAAGTCTAATTTGTGCTTGAAAATTATAAGAGAATATAAATTGTGTTTTTTTTTTATTAAATACCTCTCAATTATATTAAAAGTCCAATAAACTGAAGGAAATTTGTCGGGAAGACAAACGGTGGTGGATATTATGAACAAACAGGGTATTTATAACAGTTAGTTACCTTGTAAACCTTTAGTAGCAAAGTGAATATCTATAGGATGTGACCAATATGCTGCTTCGTGATTTTGTGGGTTATCAACTTGTGTTTGGCCTTCTCTTAATCCAGATAAAACTTTCCATGATCCACCTTAAAAACAAAATATTTATTATCTCTCAACAATCAACAAATGAATTAAAAAATTAATATTAATATGGTAATAATGCACATGTCACTGAAAATTTCAAGCACAGTTTTGTCTGGCATAATTCCTCGGGTGTCCACTGGTTCTAAAACTATTAACGTAGGTATTAACAATTTTTAATGAAGAAAGGCATACACTATAGTATACAGTGTGCTTTGAAGGAAATTTTTCCCCCTGACAGCAGTGCTACAACCACACATATTTCGAATTCCAACTGTCAGGGGTTCTTTTGCGGGCATGCAAATGTGTACATGGGTCCTCTGATTTTTGGTCCATCCAAACCACTAGACACTGTCCTTGTCAAGCCCTACATCCTGTACCACTGACAAGAGGAAACTGCCCAGGTTAACGCCGAGGAACTTTCTCGGCTTTAAAAATGAAACTGATTTTAATATACCTGTGTGAATTCCCCATTTACAAAATAAACTGTGTTCTGGAAATCCTGAAGCCCCTACAATTTGTCCAATCACATGAACCTCTCCCATCTGTCAAATAAACAAATTAAAATTTTGATGGAAAAGGATTAAAATTAAATTTATAAGCTTATTATTATTATTACAGCATATTTATAGCATGCCCTTTCATATAACATGTTCAGGGGCACTTTACAAAGTGACAATATAATTATAAATAAACAACAAAATTATGGGCATGTTAACAATTGTATACAGAGTCAGTTAAAAGCCTGATTAAATAAATGTGTTTTAAGTTGTTTTTTAAGAGAATATAGAGATGTAGGCCTACATCTTATTCTTAAACTAAATGGTTGATTATTCCATAAAACAGGTGCTTAAGAACTGAAGATGATTAACTAATTTTGACAAATCGTACAATACAATTACATTAAATATAGAAGTTCAGAGAAAAATAATCTAATCTATGTATTCAAATATTCCATAAATATAAAATGACAAACAAAATACTTAAAATGGAAAAACAAAAACATGTCAAAACTTGGTTGAATTTTTACTTCTTCATAAACAAGTACGATTTTATCACTATAATTGACAATATGCGGTTATCAAAATGTGAAAAGGAAAAATATGTAACACATAAGATATACTGACACTATAACAAACAATAGAATACCTCGTTTATATCAAATTTTCTTTTAATCTAAATGGAATTTGATTTTTTGTTGAACTTGTCAACCATTGCTGTTTACCAAGCGTTGTTCGTCCAGCTTTAGTTTCGTATTTTACTAAAAGTCAATTTAATTGTAAATATAACAGTTTTTATTACTTTTATACATGTATCATATTAAAATGAGATTTTTTGCTAAAGCGCATGCATCCAAATATCGGTAAAATATAATTTTAATTATTTCGTATCGAAGAATACGAAGATAAAATAAAGTTAACAATTTTTAAACTCGATTATCCAGTCCCAAAAAAGCTTGGTTGTGAAAAGAGAAAGAGAGCAAAGTTATTATATTAGATAATTAGATTGGACGTATTTATGAAATGTCATAATTCATTTAGAAAGTAATTCATGGTATTTTCTTCTGGACAACTTATATTATTCTCCATTACTGCATTGTACTTTTAAACGACACATGTTGTGAGTGGCAGTCATATTCATTGTGTCTATCCATATTATAATCCATATGTGTTTTTCATTAAATAAATTAAAAATGTTTGGCCGTTACGACTAAATGTTTTGGCCATTATGAACAAATGTTTGGCCGTTATAACCAAACTCTTTGGCTGTTATGACTAAAGTAGGGCCGTTTTGACAAAACCTGTTTTTGACCGTTATGGCATAGGGCCGTTACGACCACATCCCCCAAGGAGTTACGACCCAATCCCCCAAGGAGTGAGATCGTCTGTTCCCGAGATCTCTAGTTTCCTGCTACTGATATGTTTTTTTTATTGAACAAAGAAAAGTTGGCTACTTGACAATTAAGCCATATTGCATTGGTCAACATTTTGGCTAGACATCAAGTACCGGTATAGTAAAGTTTTAGAAAAAACATGTCAGATTCTATAATCGCTGCAAAAAATTAGTTCCCTGTTGTGCTGAGTGAATCGATGTAAATAGATTTATCTTTATTTTGGCTTCTGTCCTCATTAGTTTGATTGGTGCAAAAAAGTAGTATGTTTATTGCACAATGATGATGATGAAATTTGCCAAATTAATATATAAGGGGGGTTAGAGGACCGAATGGTTAGCTAATCAACTTGCGTGGTTTTGATTCCCCAGTTGTACGTGACAGGGAGTAGCGTCACCCGTCCAACCTTGTGGGTTTTCTCCAGGTCCTTGAGTTTCCTCACACTGCTAAGGGCCCCTATGAACACTGAAATAAAATTGAACCATATGTTAGTCTCAAAATGACCTAGTTTGTGTTGAGTGGACGTTAAACATCATTTCTCTTTCTCTCCGTTATTAATATATGAACTTACAGTCTAATCTGTTTATTTTAGGTGGAATAAAAACAAAGAAGGCCTCATCATATACAGTTTCAGGGAATAAATTGATAGAAATTGTGCTAATAAAAAAGGGGACAAGATTTGCGTTAATAAAAAAAGGGACAAAATTTAAAGAATAGTAGTAGATTCCTTATAAAATGTCATTACAGAAAGGTGCTCATTCCATATCAGATTCAGATTCTGATGAAACAATAGAACCCGATCCATGGGATAAAAATTCTCCAGATTTATTTGACAGCGCCAGTGAAGATGACAAAAAAAAAGCCCTGATCCCGCTACCTGAAAAACAAAAATTGAAGACAGTTGTTAGTAGTAATTCAAAAAAAGAATCCCCGGTTTCCCAGAATAAAAAACAAAAATCAATGACAGATTCTGGTAATTCTCAGGAGATTAAAAAACAATCCATCAAAAAACAGAAAAGTTTACATGAACTTTCCGACAGTGATTCAGAAGTGGAGAGAATTAAAGAAAAAATATTAAAGCTGAAAAAAATAACATCTTCAGGTGAAAAGGTTTTTGCGAAGCTTGTGAATGAAGAGACAAAGAAAGAAGAATGTAAATATGGGTCCAAGTGCTTCAGAAGAAATCCCTCACATTTAGCAGAATATAGTCATCCAAAGAATTGTAATTTGATTTTGTATACTTTATTTTTGATACAAAAATCACATCTAACATTAAAATATGATAAAAACTATTTTTTTTAAAATATGAAAATTGTTTGCCTGGCAATGAAACTAGAGAACGTACTTGTCAGTCAATTTACATGCCATGAAATTGGAATTTAACTTTAGTAGAACACAATAAATACTATTAAATTTATAGTTTTTATTTGTAAATACACTTAAAGATACATTATGGGAGATAAGATAAAGACCTGACAGTTCTCACTATAATAGTTAAAAACTAGATAATGTAAAGGCAATTTGCTGAAAATTTCAGTCAAATTGATCCACTCGGAACCAAGATTTTAGCGATTGAATTTCGTCCTAGCCTTGATCATCATTACTAAAGTCGGTACGATAAAAAACATAGTCTCGATTATCCATTTCATGATTAAATTATGAATGGAAGTCGAACAGCAAATCGGAACCAAATCCAATAAACATCGCAGGCTAGTGATGACATCAAGAGTTGATTATGGTCTGGATAAGTTAATTAATGTCTAATTAATAATTTAGATAACATTTCAGGCCTAAAGAAAGACCTGAAATAGGCAGATTTAGCTCTTGCATAATGTATTTTTTAAACATAAATATTCTAAAAATGGTCAAATTAAAGCCTGTTATTGAGTCAACTGGCGTGATTTCGAATGGGGAGGTTGTACGTGACAAGAAGTAGGGTCGCCTGTCCAACTTCGTGGGTTTACTCCGGATTCCTCCCACTGCTAAAGACCCCTATGCGGAAGCGAATTATTGAAATAAAATTATAAAAAAAACATATGTTAGTCCCGAAATGACTTAGTTTGTGTCGAGTGGACGTTAAACCCTATTTCTCTCTCTCTCTTAAAAAAATTATTTCTTGCTAATCTGAAGTAAATGACCAGAGAGCAAAATTTTTAAGTGAATGCCCAAGTCTATTGTAAACAATAGTAACCAATGGCAACTAAGATTTAACTTTGGTATATAGATCTGTTTATTTGAAGTGATAATAAATATGATAACTAGAATTTTTAATCTTTTCATGCCAGGTAGTATATCCATTTTTATTAATGTCGATTTATATTTAAGCTGTACTTTATTTCATCAATTCTATTAAAATTTATTATAAAGTTTACAACATAATTTCTTTACAACATAATTTCTTCTTGTCAGACTGAACATATAAATAAGTGAAAAGTAATTTCTACAATAATGTGAAAGTTTGCTCTCTAAAGGATATACCAGTCTAAAAATGGACTGTAATTTTGATAATCTTTAAGTGGCATTTATCGATTGGGAAACACATATACAGAACACAGTTTTTATGGGAAACAATCACTGGTTTATTCTAAAAGCACAACGTTTCGACAAGTATCCTCTTATCGTGTTTGATAACGATAACGGGATACTTGTTGAAATGTCATGCTTTTAGAATAAACCAGTGATTGTTTCCCATAAAAACTGTGTTCTGTATATGTAATTTTGATAAAATATTTTTTAGGTTCTCCAGCTAAAAGAAAATTAGAAGATGTACCTGAATATTCTCCAAGTAAAAAAACGAAACATGAAGTTACAGCGTCAACATCTACTTGTAATAAATCCAATAAAACCTGTCAGGAATTGTTCCGTGAAAATCAACCATTTAGTTTTTTTCTAACTAAAGTAACTGGTATAAGAAGTGAATACAATGATTCAGCAGCAGTTCATATTAGTGGTAGGTAGGTGAAATAACCTTGTTTAAAATACAGATGTGATGTCATCCTTTGATGTTGATTACCATTATTTCAAATAATTGTATGGGCAACTTGCCAATCGTACATTATTTATACTAGTGAAATATTTGACTAGCATGGCATATTTCACTGTAAAAGCACATGCAGAGTGTCTGTATTTTAAGTCGTTTAATGGTCTCGAGCTAAAAACATTGCGTAATATATTGTAAAAATATTATTTCAAATAATCGTACAGGCAACTTTCCAATCATACATTATTTATACTAGTGAAATATTTGACTCGCATGACATATTTCACTGTAAAAGCACGTGCGGAGTGTTTGTATTTTAAGTCCTTTAATGGTCTTGAGCTTGAGACACTGCGTAATATATTGTAAAAACACTCGGGCCTATGGCCCTCTTGTTGTTACAATATATTACTTAATGTTTCGCTCTCGACCATTAAACTACACTTAAAATACAGATGTGACGTCAATGGTACTGGCAACATGTCAATCGTACATTATTTTAACTAGGTGAAATATTGACTCGCGTGACGATTTTATTGAAATGCACATGTGGGATAGTATCTGTATTTTAAGTTGTTTAATGGTCTTGAGCAAGACATTGTGTAAGATAGCGAAACGACATTCTTGACCATTAAATCACACATAACCAATATACCCTGTTTATTCTATTCTATTCTAGTAAAGCATTGTGTTGTGACATGTTTATTGTATATTTATCTAGTAAAGCATTACATTGTGGCTTTATCAAGCCCGGATTTCACTTGTCAAGGGTGGGGCCCGTGTACACATTAATGTGCATGTTAATCACACAGTTTGAAATCACATTGGACATGTAACAGTTGAAATGAAAATTACTGAAGTATTTGGATTTTGAAACTTGTGGATCGTTTAGTTGTGCCTGACAAGGAGTAGGGTCACATACCTAACCTTCTGAATGTTCCACTGGTTCCCCTTAGTGATAAAATGCCTGGCACAGAAGTGAATGAATGAATAATTACCTAAATAAACCCCATTTCTTATGTTTTTAGAATTGAAAACAAGAAAAAAGTGTTTTTCCCAATAATTTTTGCTTGAAACGAAGATTTGTATGAGTTTTATTGCTTTGTATAAATTTTTATTGTTGTATATGATGTTTTATTGTTGTTGTATATGATGTTTTATTGTTGTATATGATGTTTTATTGTTGTTGTGTATTATGTTTTATTGTTGTTGTATATTATGTTTTATTGTTGTTGTGTATGATGTTTTATTGTTGTTGTATATTATGTTTTATTGTTGCTGTATATGATGTTTTATTGTTTTGTATAAAAAAAATTATTTCTTATTCTTTTCCTTCAGAAATATTATCAGAAGATATGGGAAATTTAGTGGAATCTTGTCAGGTAAATAATCATTCAAATCATGAATTCTAAAAAAAACGTCAATCTATTTATACAAAATGGCAGCAGGTATTTAATATCAAAAGTGTTATCAAGTGTTTAAGAAATCACAACGATGTATGTGCATGTGCAAGCAATGTGTAAGTTACTGCTGATCACATGAGTAGTCAAAATGGCAGTCCTGTGTCCGTATTTTCGCTGTCCACAAAACCACATACTATTTTAGCTTGTGCTGATTGGTCAAACACAAAAGTGCTCTATGATTTTTTGCTGCGACATACACGGTGATCGATCTACAAGTAATTCTATTTCTCCGAAGCTTTAAAAAATTTGTTTGATTATTTTGGATAATTTTCTTGTACTAAACATAGAATGAAAAAAATTTTTCAGTAAAAGATGAATATTCAGTTTAATTGTTTTATTTTCAGTTTAATTATATGTATAATATTGATTGGTTAGTTCAGCAATATCCTAAATCTTTTAGGTAGGTCAGAATGTTATTTTATATCGTTTAACAAGAAGTCCAGCAGTTGCAGATTTTTTGCGTGTTATTGATTGTCTAAAATTAAAACAGTTTCATAGATGCACAGCTTCAAATTGTGCTAGGTTTGTCTTGTATTTTATGGCCTTTATAGGCTTCACTGATTAATATTATTAATATTATAAAATCAATTATATAGCTTTCTTAAAATGTGGGGGGGGGGGAATCGGGTGGTGAAATCGTTTAACGCGTGCATGTTAGATCATAAGGTCTGTCATTGAGTTAGGGGGTTGGATGGCTGAATGGTTAGCGTGCGCGCGCTGTATCATAAAGTCTGTCATTGAGTCGACTGGCGTGGTTTTGAATCCCTGGGTGTACATGGCAAGGAGTAGGGTCGCCTGTCCAACCTCGTTATTTTTCTCCGGGTATTCCGGTTTCCTCCCACTGCTAAAGACCCCTACGCGCAAGCGAATTATGTAAATAAAAATAAACCATATGTTAGTCCCGAAATGACCTAGTTTGTGTCGAGTGGACGTTAAACTCCATTTCTCTCTCTCTCTCTGTCATTGAGTTAAGTATAGTGGTTTTAATTCCCCGCTTGTACGTGACAAGAAGTAGGGTCGCCTGTCCAACCTCATGGGTTTTCTCCAGGTCCTCTGGTGCCTCTCACAGCTAAAGACCCCTATGCGCAAGCAATTTTTGAAATAAAATGGAACCATATGTTAGTCTCGAAATGACCTAGTTTTTGTCGAGTGGACATAAAACCACATTTCTCTCTTTCTCTCTCTCAAAATGTGTTCAGATGTGCTGTATAAATATATAAATATACTTTTAAGAACCTCTAATTAAAAATGTATAACGGTAGTTAAATATTGTAAACAGTAATAAATGGTATTACCTTTGGTTTATGATTTCAGGTCTAAGCCGTTACTATTGGTTCATGGTGAACAAAGAACAAGTCAAGCTAATTTACAACTTGATGCTTCAAAATATCCAAATATAAAGTTATGTCAGGTAGGTGTACTGTGATAACTCCACCCCAAATTCACAGATAGGTAAAATCAGATTTTCATTTCGGAGTAAGATATCTATTATAGTTGGAATATCGATTCAGAAATGGAGCACTATGATGCCCTTTCATATAGTGATAAACATGGATGTTTTGGAATTTCTGTTAAATTAGATAAAATTTGATTTTGATTAAATTATTATTTTATTTTACAGGCAAGACTTGATATAATGTATGGTACACATCACACGTAAGTTTCATTTTATTGTCTATATCTTAAAGCCTCTGATATTCATTTGAAAGGAAAGGAAATGGGGTTTAACGTCCTACTGTTTTGCTCCGAACTGGGCTAATGAAGACGGGCATACTCCATACAGTGGGCTATGAGGGAAATTTTTATTTTACAGTAAAATGATGTTATTGTTATATAATACTGTGTATTTTATAGTAAAACGATGTTATCGTTATATGATACTGTTTATTTTGTAGTAAAATGATGTTATTGTTATATGATACTGTTTATTTTATAGTAAAATGATGTTATTGTTATATGATACTGTTTATTTTATAGTAAAATGATGTTATTGTTATATGATACTGTTTATTTTACAGTAAAATGATGTTATTGCTTTATGATACTGGATTAAGAGTTGTTATAACTACAGCTAATGCTATAGAAGGTGATTGGTATCAGAAAACACAAGGGTAAGTAACATAAATGTTTATCACCTATCTGATTAAAACACAGATCCTAATTCGTTTCATTTTTTACAGTTCAAAATTTTGTCTTACCTGTCTTTACTACACTAGGATCTGGAAGAGTTGTTATATTACCAGCGTTTTGGTTGAAGTGAGGGATTAGCCAATGAAACTGTCTGTTACGGTGACTTCTTGACGTGCCATGCACGGAACTGTGGGTAAACCACTAGAAACATCAACGCTGATTGATTAATCAACGTATGACATCATAGGGTCAAAAGCCGCACATACAACCCCTGACACGACCTTCCAGTACAACTTATCAGATCTTCATGTAGTGTAGGCCATCAAAAGTATAAAAAAACGAAATGAAATATAGATCTGTATTTTAATCAGATTGGTTTATCACTTAAACTTATTTGCAGTCGGGGGGTTGGATGGCTGAATGGTTAGCGTGCGCGCGCGCTGTATCATAAAGTCTGTCATTGAGTCGACTGGCGTGGTTTCGAATCCCCGATTGTACGTGGCAAGGAGTAGGGCCGCCTGTCCAACCTCGTGGGTTTTCTCCGGGTCCTTCGGTTTCCTCCCACTGCTAAAGACCCCTACGCGCAAGCGAATTATGTAAATAAAATTAAACCATGTGTTAGTCCCGAAATGACCTAGTTTGTGTTGAGTGGACGAGAAACCCCATTTATCTCTCTCTCTATTTGCAGTCAATCACAGACAACTTCACATTAAATAGGAACTTGTATTCATTTGAATGTTCATTGGCAAATTAGTACTGGTTAATTGGCTGTGATCTCTTCACGCCCCATTTACAAGATGTCTGCACATGTCATCATTTCTCGAAACATAAATTGTAGTAGATCTAACTCTTATTGAGGGAAAATAAAAGAAGGTTTATCCTAATACCATGAGGAGCAACAGCTTAAAAAAACCTTGCTAAACAGTTTCCACACTCTTGTGTGACTGATTAAACTGTAGAGCTGTGGCTTCTACTTCATGCTTCAGCCATATCCCAAAAGTAGTATTCGAGAATAGATCTCTACCCTAAATGGCAGCCATATTCCAAAAGTAGTATACTGTTTTGTAATGCTTTTCTACTCCGTTTCACATGTCTTATACACAAAGACTAAATAAACTTTTTCAATTCTATTAAATGGAAGCAGAATAACAACTTCAACAAAATCCTCGATTGTATACTTAGTGTTTTCGACTGAAATTGTTGATTTAGGACTTAAAATGTTGGTCAACTAGCTTAGTGTTCTCAAGCAGAGCTAACTGTAGACAGACAACCCAAGTTTAGTATGAGTATCCAGATCTCAAAAATGCACATTACACTGACAATGGAGAAAATGTGGTTGAAAAGAGAAGTTTGTAATGGTAAAATTTGCTCTGTAGAAACAAAAATAAGTTTTATGAATTTTTCTATTTCAGTGTTTGGATAAGTCCTGTATTTCCCAAATTACCAGGAGATGGTGGAACTAATTTAGGGGAATCCCCAACAAATTTTAAAAAAGACCTGATCCAATATTTAACAGCTTATAGATCTCCTAAACTAACTCAATGGGAAAATCATATTAAGGCACATGATTTCTCCTCTGCTAGAGTTTTCATTATAGGTTCTGTACCCGGGAGACACACAGATAGAGTAAAAGATGCTTGGGGACACCTAAAACTACGAAAAGTTCTTCAGAATTACGGTCCACCATTTAAGAATATTAAAGATTGGCCTGTGATAGGACAGTTTTCAAGCATTGGGTCTTTAGGGCCAACAGAAGATAGCTGGGTGTGTGGAGAATGGTTAAAGTCATTAACGGCAGCTAAAGGAATCGGTCTCACGTCTAGCTTGTCCAGTAAACTACAACTGGTAAGTTACTTCTTGGAACCCTGTTGTACGAAATACACCTAAACTTGCATACACATCATGACTTACACTTCAAAATTTTGCCTGCTGGTCAATTTTTTATTTATTTTGTTTACGTCAGGTGAACTTAAAACCAGGATTTGAACACGGGTAATTCTTAGTGAATGTTGAGGGCTCTTGACTGCTCGACTACCAATCCTCCCCCCCCCCTCTCACAAAGGGAGAAAGACTTTTTCAAACATACATACATGTATATCTGAATTTTAGATTGACTTTCTAGCCTCAATTACAAAGCTTAACCTCCAAATCATACATTTAATGATTAGAATAACCATTGTCAAATTATTTCATATACATAAGATTAATAGAATTTGTAGGGGAGTTGGGTGTCCGAATGGTTAAAGCATGCACTTTGCATCATAATGTCTATCATTGAGTCAAGTGGTGTGGTTTCGATTCCCCGCTTGTATGTGACAAGGAGTCAGATTGCTTGTCCAACTTAGTGGGTTTTCCCCGGGTCCTCCAGTTTCCTCCCACTGCTAAATGCCTCTATGCGCAAGAGGATTAATGAAATAAAATTAAACCATATGTTAGTCCCAAAATGACCTAGTTTGGGTCGAGTGGACATTAAACCCTCTCTATCTCTCTGTCTCTCTCTCTCAATAGAGTTTGCTTTTAGAGGTTTTATAATATTTGTTGTAGATATTTCCATCAGTAGACAATGTAAGAATTAGTTTAGAAGGTTATGGTGCTGGTGGTTCTATACCATACAGTATACACACAGCTCAAAAACAGAAATATATACACCAATATTTCAGGTCAGTTTCTAATTCAATGTTTGGAGTTGGGTGGTCAAGTGGTCTATAATGCACTTTAGATCATAAGGTTTGTCATCGAGCCAAACTTGTATGTAACAACCTTGTGGGTTTTCTCTGGGTCCTCAGGTTTCCTCCCACTGCTGAAAACTCCTACCTGCAACCAAATTATAGAAATAAAACCGGTTTCAGCCTTTACTCAGATTGCATCTGCACAATATGAAGTTCTAAAGAGTCAAAATTTTGGCAAATGTCATTCCCCCCCCCCCCCAAAAGTATGTTAAAGATACACATGCCACAGTTCTGTGGAATAAAATTACCATTTATTACTGGGCAATGTTTTGTCTGGACTTCTGTAGGCTACAGCTGTGCGATATCCCTGGAAAAAAATGAATATTGCCCAGCTCTACTCTAGGCTTTATCAGGCAAAGATACAATTATAAAACATGATGGAGCACTTGTTTTACATATACACCAATTATAAATAAAATATGCTCCCAGCCTCGGGTTCGCTCCCGGAGTTGGCTGAGAAACTTCATCGGGATTATCGGACGTGGTTCCCCCTTCTCAGTGGTGCAAGATGGAGGGCCTGACAAGATCAGCTGTCTAGTCATTCAGATGGGATGAAAAACCGAGGTCCTGTGTACACAATGGTGTGCACGTAAAAGATCCCTTGGCAGTTGGAATTTGATATAAGATTAGGCTGTAGTGCCCCTGTCCGTGCAAAATTTTCCTCATAGCACACTGCATGGTGTATGGACGTCTGCATTAGCCCAGTCAGAGCAGAACAATAGGACATTAAACCCCATTTCATTTCATTTCAACTAGATAGTGGAGGTCGATGGCTTTCTTAATCAAATATCTGTCATTTATCACTTTGAGATGAAGTAGAAAAAACATACCTTAGCATCTTTACCATGAATTTTAATCTGAATTATAGACAATGGAAATCTGAAGGTAGAGGAAGAAGTCGTGCTGCTCCTCATATTAAAACATACGTTAGACCAAATCCCGAGTTTAATGAAGCTGCTTGGTTCTTAGTTACAAGGTATTTATTTATTAATGTTTTAAACTAGAGCTCATGATTGAGATCAATGATTACACCCACCTATAAATACACAGACTTTAAAATAATGTGGACACTTACGGCTGGCCCCTAGATCCATTCACTTAATCTGATATACAGTATACATTTATTGTAGGTCTGATGTTTGTAATCCCTGACTATGCTCAACTTTACCTATAATACACAGGAGAGGCTTTACAATAACAACTGTACAGCACAGTGGACACTTGCAGCTGTCTCCCAGATCCATTCACATGAATCCCTGACTATGCTCATTCTTACCTATAATACACATGAAAGACTTTACAATAACAACTGCCATCTTTTATTGAAATTCAGGCTACCTTGTATCGTAAACTTAATTAAATAGCTGTTGGCAAATTTTCATCACAAAATATTGAAATTCAGGCTACCTTGTATCCTAAACTTAATTAAATAGCTCTCGGCAAATTTTCATCATAAGATATGTGGGTTTCTGTTTCTTTTAATTTATTTTACAAATTCATGTTTTTTTGTTTTTCTAAATGCTTGGATGGAACTATTTAAATGCATGAAAGATAATTAATTTTTTCTCTTTTTTTTTTTTTTTTTTTTTTGCAGTGCTAATTTGTCTAAAGCTGCATGGGGTGCCTTAGAGAAGCAAGGAAGTCAGTTAATGATACGGTCATATGAAATTGGTGTACTATTTTTACCACAATATTTTGTAAGTGTCTTGTAATTTAATTTATATTATTGGATCCATAATTGTGGCATCAGTCCAGGTCTTTCATTTTAAATTTTTGACATATTTTGTTTACCTCGGATTAGCAGTATGTTGACTGTAACATCCGGGATTATGGCCCCTGATTGTACAGAAAATAGCTTTTTTAGCATTGCAACCACTTGTTCATGTACCACTTAGGTAGCCATGAACATATGCATGTATTTTGTTCATTTATTATGCAATCAACATTTGTCTGCTCAACTTGTTTTCTTTTCCTCATTATGATGTTTATGGCAGGGTAATATGCAAATATTTTTAAAAACAGTAATTTTTTTTTTTTGTAGAATGATGAAGAAACATTTCCAATTACATCTGACGTAAGAAAATCCTTAAATCAGAAAAAAGCAACTTTTCCTTTACCCTATGACCTGCCACCATCTAGATATGAAAAGGGAGGTAATAGAGCTCAATAGAATTTAACCCACTGACCAGACAAAATATCACATATAAACCGCCAATCTGTTTCACAGAGTGTTACGAAAGTCATCTAATATCTCTGTAAAAGATGACTACCTTCAACACATGACCTCATATCACGCGGTGCATTGTTTACATAAGACATTACTGATTCGAGCAGAATGAGGCCTTTTACTCATTTTAATACCCATTTATTTATTTTTTTAATACATAAAAAAATGTTTTAGATTTTAATTTGTCGGAGGAAAAAAGTTAATATTTGTGGCTCATTAAGTCGCATTGATGTCATCCTTATCATTGATTGTCGCGGCCTAACAAATATTCACTGCGGATCAGTGTGATAAACCGCTGTCTCCTTGGATTACTGATCATGGGCACTGTATTAAATAAAACCTATATATTCACTGCCCATCCAACCGAGTTATGACCAGTTTGTTTTGGTTAACTAGGAGAAATGGTGGATGGTTGTTGTTGTTCTTAGCGTTTAACGTCCGCTTCCACCGAAGGTGATATCGCAGACAAGTTCATTTTAATGATCTTAGTGCACGCGCAGGGGTCTTTGCTGTGGGAGGAAACCGTAGTACCCGGAGTAAACCCACGAGGTTGAGAAGGCGCCCCTATCTCCAAGCCACATACGCTCACACCTGGGATCGAAACCACAGCCGCAAGCCAGAGGTGACCGGCCAACTAGAGGTCGAAGCGTGACACTCTAGACCACTAGGCCATCCCAACCCCCCTCATAGTGGATGGTTGAAGGAAGTGATTATGAGATGACTCCAGTTGATTACGAGCAGACTTCTAAAAGTTGATTATTACACGTCTAAACTGATTACCAAAATAAATTAATAGAGATGGTATCTCAATACCCATATCTCTCTCTCTGAATAACTGAGTGATCTGAAGATTAAAGATTCATTATGTAAGATTTAGATAAAGATGTGTTAGTTTTTGCTAGAATAGTTCAAAAATAGATAATGAAAAATGAATGTATTGAAAATTTCATTCAAATTACATTACTTTATTCTTCATTCAAATTACTTTATTCTTCATTCAAATTACTTTATTCTTCATTCAAATTACTTTATTGTGAGCGAAGTTATGAGTTTTGGAAGATGTAGCATAGATTGTTTATTGTCGTAGCAACGGTATTGGACATACAAGACAAAGTCTCGATTTTCCATTTTATTGTTAGATTTTCAAATGTTCAAATCTATTTAAATCTCAGCCATCTGATCATCTAGGGAGTTGATTATGGGCTTGTGAATAAATGTCTAAATAATAGATTATATAACATTTAAAGCTAAAATAATGACCTGCAATAAACAGATTTAGCTCTTACATAATGTATCTTTAAAACTTCAGCTTTTATTCATGACAAGATGACATCTCTCATACTTATTACAGAATATGGAAATAAGCCACTACCATTAACCTCATTATACTCAATTAATACAACATACTGCATAATTAACTAAATCTTGACAAGATGACAAGATGACATCTCTCATACTTATTACAGAATATGGAAATAAGCCACTACCATTAACCTCATTATACTCAATTAATACAACATACTGCATAATTAACTAAATCTTCTTGAAAATATCTTCTTTATAATCAGGTATCCTTAACTAATAATGATTAACTAGACTAAATCTATATAGCTGTTACCACAATTAAATAAGGTGAAACCCCCACCACTGCCTTCCTTATTATCATAAACTCCAAACAAAATTAACTCAAATATAAGCACATGCAAAACTCATTTAATATAATTATGTAGTAAGTTGTATTGATTGTATGAGTGTAATGAAGTTAATGGTGGTGGCTTCGGTCCATATTCAATCTGTAATAAGTATGAGAGATCGTGAAGTCATGTATTAACTATTGGTTATTTTTAACAAAAAAGAACATAAATACAGAAAAACAAATAATAGCTTTGGCAGTTGTCCCACCGGGAGTTGTCCTGCTCCTTACAAACAATATGAATTGGGTGGGGTTTTTTCTTTTTAACTTGATGACGATTATCTTATGAGTCTTATTTTTTTTACAGATCGACCCTGGATGTGGGATGTTCCCTGTGTTCATCTGCCTGATACAAATGGAAAAAAATATTGTCCACCAATGAAATGACGAGAAATAAATTTAGAAGAATATCACAAATATAATCTGATATTAAATAAATAATATTTTAACATATAGACTGATTCTAAACTGGTGCTTACATTTTTTTTATGCATTTAATTCATTGAATAAATTCAGATAAAGATGAAATTTAGTTTTCTTTTTTTAATGCAATATGAGGTGATTCTAAATATGATAGACATGTGGTAAATAATGGTTCTGAAAATGTTTTACTGTGGAGTCGTTTTTCTTTTAGTTTGTCTTCGAATGTATTTTTGTTAACGGCCATCTCACTCTTGTAGATAGCACTAACCTGGTATTGATAAAAATCAAGATTGTCAACCCCCTTCAATATTTTACCAGATACTTAAAGATTCCAGATCATCGGAATGTTCAAAATATTATTGCCCAATGGGGAAAGAATTACTTGTCTGAATCCTGATTTGAAAACTAGAGTTGTTCCCCTTCAACTATGTTTCCTCAAAGGGACTGGATGACGGAAACGTCAATGGCGGGCACTTCAATGTGAAAGAAAAGTTTTAAAAAGATTTAGTGTTGTTCTAATTAATTAAGAACATCAATGAGCAAGTTTGATGATTTAGACATTAATCCACGTATATTAACTGCTATCAAACGATGTAAGTAAAGTTCATTAAGGAAATCCGAAATGTTACTGATCGGTTTTTAATTTAGAATAAACTGAAAGTAGACAAATCAGATTGAAGTCAAAACATTAGAGAAATGGAGTTTAACACCCACTCGACACAAACTAGGTCATTTCGGAACCAAAATATGGTTCAATATTATTTCCAAAATTCGCTTGCACAAACGGTTCTTTCGCTGTGGGAGGAAACTGAAGGACCCGGTTTCAGAGAAAAGCCAAAGTTTGGACAGGCAATCCTATTCCTTATCCTTGTTAAGTACAAGCGGGGAATCAATAGTCTGTCACATGAATCAATGTCAGGTCTTGTGAGCTAATGTGCACGTGTTAACGCCCCCTTCAAAACAAGAAGAAACTAGTCCTACATTGTTTATTCTAATTTTGCTATGAATCAAACAGGAAAGGATTTAAATTAAAAGGTCACCAGAAAAGCTTCATAAATCTTTTAAAAAATGCAAGTAATTATGTCAACATATTCTTTCCCTGACATAAGTATAACACGATCCCAAATGTCAATGTTACCTGCCACAGGTAAATTTCATGAGGTAGATTTCCGCCGTTCTCCGTTGGTATTCATAACCTCCCGCCAATAAACAAACTGTGACGTAATTTTAGTCCTTCTGCTCATATTCTAGTATATATTTCTATACAATACCAGCCATATACATGTATCTGCAATTTTAAGCCATACATTCATTGAGTTACTCACACAAATTTTATTTAAAAACACATGTATATTTTTAAACAGCCAAATTAACCAGTGTTGAATCTGTGTTGAGTTTATCTGGACCTGATCTAGAAAGAACATGTCAGTTGTCATCGAGTGATGTATCAACATTAAAACATGCCATTGCTGAATCAATACCAAAACCGGATCCATGTACAGGTAAACTATCAACATTTTTGTCCCCCGCCTTTCGAAGAAAGCAGGGGACTATTAAAATGGGTTCGTCCGTCTGTCTGTCTGTCCGTCTGTCTGTCCGTCACACTTTTTGGGACACAATAACTCTCTTCCTAATTGAGCTAGAATGTTCAAACTTGGTGTATGTGTTTATTAGGTCAATGCCTTGATGGAGATCGAAGATGAGCATTTTCCGCTTAGGGTAAGCAGAGATAAGCAATTTGATTGGTTGATGCTTTGGGACACGATAACTCTCTTCCTAATTGGGCTAGAATGTTCAAACTTGGTGTATGTGTTGATTAGGTCAATGCCTTGATGGAGTTCGAAGATGAGCATTTTCCGCTTAGGGTAAGCAGAGATAAGCAATTTGATTGGTTGATGCTTTGGGACACGATAACTTTTAATTGAGCTAGAATGTTCAAACTTGGTGTATGTGTTTATTAGGTCAATGCCTTGTTTATTTTGATTCTATCTGATAGAGAGTGATGAAACTTAATGTATACTTAATAATCAGTTTGATTGCTGGATACTTTTGAAAAAGATAAACATGCAATTAATTAATATATGTCATCTATTTATTTCGGGATTTCAGCGGGGAACATCAGCCTCACTGTTGGCTTGTTTATAATTGAAACTCACTTCAGATTGTTGGGGGTTGGGTGGTTGAATGGTTTAACGTGTGCGTGTTAGATTGTTAGATTTGTCATTGAGTCAAGTTGCCCCTACACGCAAGAGAATTATTGACAAAAAAAACACTTATCAGTAATTAGTAGTACCATTCTTGTCTAAATTTCAATTTTCCATAATGTTTTTTTTTTTTTTTTTTAAATCATTTAAATTTTGGATATCATTCATTTGTAGGATGTGCATATCTATAAAATATCTTTCCATGTCAGTCACTTCCGCAATACTTTGGGTGGCAATGACAAAAGAAACGATGTTGTCTGTAATTAGTATGAGTATGACTATATTTATTAATACTGAGGAAGAACAATCTAATAGAAATGTGTTTATTAAAATAAAAAATGAAGTACTATCTATAGACTATTCGTATTTGTTTATTTTTCTGATAGCTTTGGATCTGTGGAAGGGGGAATGTGTCAATAATTTAAAGATCAAGAAACTGTCAATAGGTTGTGATGTTTTTGACAATTTCTTACGAGGTTAGTTATCACATATATTTTCTATTCTATTTAACTTCATTTTTTTTTCATCTTGTTTATTTTGTTGGAACTTCATTTGTGACTCTGTTAAACCCCATTTCATTTCATTGATTAAACCCCATTTTATTTCATTATTACACCACATTTATTAAACCCCATTTCATTTCTTTTATTAAACCCCATTTCATTTATTAAATAACATTTAATTTATTGTGTTTTACAGGTGGTATAATATCGCGAGGAATAACAGAATTATCAGGTGAAAGTGCCAGTGGTAAAACCCAGTTCTGTTTACAGTTATGTCTGACTGTTCAACTACCTGTTACACACGGAGGACTAGCAGGAGGTTTGTATTATTCACCATTAGACCACCATCAATTTCAACTTCTCTTCCTCAGTTTAGGTGGTCAAGAGAGAGAGAGAGAGTGTGTGAGAGAGAGTGTGAGAGAGAGAGTGTGTGAGAGAGAGAGAGAGAGTGTGAGAGAGAGTGTGAGAGAGAGTGTGTGAGAGAGAGAGAGAGAGTGTGAGAGAGAGTGTGTGTGAGAGAGAGAGAGAGAGAGAGAGATGTGGTTTAACATCCACTCGACACAAACTAGGTCATTTCGGGACTAACATGGTTTTGATTTTATTTCAATAATTTACTTGCGCGTAGGGGTCTTTAGCAGTGGGAGGAAACCCTAGGACCCGGAGAAAACCCACGAGGTTGGACAGGTGACCCTACTCCTTGTCACGTACAACCGGGGATTCGACACCAAGGTGGTCAAGTAGTCTAGATCATAAGGTTTGTCATTGAGTCAAGTGGCATGGGTTTATGCCATACTTGTACGTGAGGAGTAGTGTCACCTGTCCAATCTCATGGGTTTTCTCAGGGTCCCTCGATTTCCTCCCACTAAGACCCCTAGGTGCATGTCAGTTGTTGAAATAAAAATTAAACCATATGTTAGTCCTGAAATGACCTAGTTTTGAGGAGTGGATGTTAGATCCATTTCTTTCTCTCACTCTCTTACAATGATTTATAGACCAAAAATACTTTGGTATTTTAGTTCCACATTTTAAAGTTCCGAAATTCTAAATAAAACATTTTTCATGAGACTTGTGTGGCTTTTTATTTATGAAGACCCAGAAAAACTAAACATTAAATTGTTTTAGCCTTAATGTTGATGTTGTAACAAACTATTATGACACACTTAGATTTGTGTTTCTTAAGTCAATATATACTTTACACCTGTAGTATGTATACACTCTTGTGTTTACTGTGTTCAGATGTATCACGGTGTTTAAATATGGATTGATTCCTATGGATACAACAATATCTATCACTTTTTCATCTTCTTTCTTCCATTAAAGATGCACTATGTAAGAGCTAAATCTGCCTATTTTCAATATATTCATTTTGCATTATCTATTTTTGAAATTTTCAGTATATTCATATTTCATTATCTATTTTTGAACTATTATAGCAAGAACGGCTAGCTCTTTATCTAAATCTTACATAATCCATCTTTAGAGTAACGGTAGCAATATTGTTAATTTTAAACTAGACTAATATACATTACAACCCTTATTCACTTAACATATCTAATACACTTTACACCTCTAATACACTTAACATAGCTAATACACTTTACACCTCTAATACACATGCTCTCTGATATACTTATCACCTCTAATACACATAGACTCTCTAATATACTTTACATCTCTAATATACTTGGTACAATTGTACTGTATAAGTATAATTAACAAAAATACCTTGTGTTTTACTTTCAAACACCAGGCAGTATACATAGTTTACATCACACTAATCATCAATAAAAGTATGTCCCATAAAAGATCTTCCTGTTCAAATGTCAATGAACGTCCCTGATAAATGTAAATAATATATGTGGCAGTCACGGTTCTGTTTAAAGTTGTATTCCTTTGATAATTTCAGCAGTATTGTCTTATTATTAATTCAAGAATATATAGAAATAATGAAGAATTGCCCCACGTTTATTTAAAGAGCCATTAGTACTGTCCTTTAAAATTCTCTTACTTTTGACATTGGGGTGAGGATGTAAGCTGCTGTGATTTGACTATATAGTTGGAGGAGGGGGATATCCGAATGGTTAGCATGCGCGCTCTGTATCATAAGGTCTTGTCATTGAGTCAACTGACGTGGTTTCGATTCCTCGGTTGTATGTGACAAGGAGTAGGTTAGCCTGTCCAACCCCGTGAGTTTTCTCTGGGTCCTCCGTTTCCTCCCACTGCTATATACCTCTACGTGCAAGCGAGTTATTGAAATAAAATTGAACCATGTGTTAGTCCCGAAATGACCTAGTTTGTGTCGATTGGACGTTACCCCCCCCCCCATTTCTCTCTCTCTTTGCCTATATAGTTACATCAGTGGTGTTAGGATTAGATTGTATGCAATATTTGAGATAAATCTGTCAATCCACTGTTTTAGATTCATTACAAGTGAACCATCATGCACAAATTTCTAACAATAGTTAAGACTGGCAAATTAGAATATCCTTATTAGATCCCATCTTAAATTAGAATATCCTTATTATATCACAATTTAAATTAGAATATCCTTATTAGATCACAACTTAAATTAGAATATCCTTATTAGATCACAACTTAAATTAGAATATCCTTCTTAGATCACAACTTAAATTAGAATATCCTTCTTAGATCACAACTTAAATTAGAATATCCTTATTATATCACAATTTAAATTAGAATATCCTTATTAGATCACATCTTAAATACACTCAAGGACTTTGGTGTAGAATATTATTTTTTTTCAATTTGTCAAAAAACATAACTTTTTAACTTGTATAGGGAGTTGATAAAATGACATGAAATGGGGTTTATCATCCTAATTTTCTGCACTAATGAAGACAGGCATATTTTATATGGAGAAACTTTTGTCTACACAGCGCCATTTCTACCTACTGTTCTGTGGGTTCCTGTATGTGCACAGAACCTTTAGATTTTTATTTTTGTTCCATCTGAATAGCAAGACGCTATTCTTTGCCAGGCCCTCTGTCTTTCACCACTGACAAGGGGAAACCACACCAGGATTGAACCTTGGACCACCTGGTTCGTGAGCCAGCACCCTACCTACTGCGTCACAGTGAATTCATGTGAATAACTATCTTAGAAGGAAGAAATCTTTTATAAATGCAGATATGATTAAATAACATGATTTCCTGATAAAGCCAATAATAATGTCATGAGAAGTTATTCCATTCACCTACCCCTAAGGAGGAATCTTTTATAATCTGACATTTGAGATTTGTGGTATTATATAATTAGTGAAAGGGGAAGTCAGACATGTAAACTAGTTATTTATCAATATAGATTTATTTTAATACTGGATTATTTATAAACATTCTTTTATACACTTTTTGTAATCTCTACAAGTAAAAGAGTTTCTTTGAGATCCTTTTTTCAAACTTGCTAATCTTATTCCAGCTATTCATAGACATTGAGAGATATGTATTAAATATTCATAGGTGCAATGATAGGATTTGTATCACGATTCCTATGCAGGTCAATATGTATCAAGAAAACAAGAGGATAATTGTAGAAATAAAACTGTTTTATATCATGATATTGAATATTTATGTGGATCAAAATAAGGACCAAAACACTGCATCACTGACAAGGGGAAACCACGCCAGAAAATCGGGATGAACTTTCTCGGCCAATGCAGGGATCGAACACCTTTTGGAGATGAAATAAGGGAGATGAAATTGCCTTCTAAGGAGAACGAGACATTCAAATTATTACCAGATCTTCTACTCCCTTTATTTGTACCCCCAGTTTTAAAATATATAACACATGACATTATTATATGGAATACTAGTTACTTGAAAGATTTATTTCCTCCATCTGTTTAAGAGCCATACGACCAAGCAAATTATTAAAATAGAATTAAATCATATGTTAGTCCCCAAAACTGACCTAGTTTGTGTTCAGTGGACATTGATCCCTATTTCTTTCTCATAAGGTCTGTCATAGAGTCAGCTGGCGTGGTTTCAATTCCCAGGTTGTACATGACAAGGAGTAGTGTCACCTGTCCAACCTCGTGGGGTTTTTTCCGGGCCCCCCTGTTTACTCCCACTGCTAAAGACAACTACACTCAAGCAAATTCTTGAAATAAAATTGAACCATGTGTTATTCTCGAAATTGCCTAGTTTGTATTGAGTGGACATTAAACCCCATTCTCTCTCTCTCTCTCTCTCTCTGTCATAGAGTCAGTTGGCGTGGTTTCAATTCCCAGGTTGTACATGACAAGGAGTAGTGTCGCCTGTCCAACCTCGTGGGTTTTTTTCAGGGACCCCCTGTTTACTCCCACTGCTAAAGACAACTACACTCAAGCAAATTCTTGAAATAAAATTGAACCATGTGTTATTCTCGAAATTGCCTAGTTTGTATTGAGTGGACATTAAACCCCATTCTCTCTCTCTCTCTCTCTCTCTCTCTCTCTCTCTCTCTCTCCCTCCCATTGTAGCTCCAGTTTATATTTAGTTCTCATGATTTATTTGACTTGTTTTATGAAAGTGCTAATTAGTTTTGCATGTGCTAATCAATAGGGGAGATATAAATATATTTGATTAGCACCTGATAATAAGCAGACGTGATAATTGTAAAGCCCTTGACCAAATGTGCAAATGAGCTTCAATAATTAAGTGTAAAAAAAGCCTTCACTTTACAAAATTTGAAATCCATCTTTGAAAACAAGCGGATGCTATAAACCTTCATATTGGGAATATATATATAGTCGTTTGGATGGGGCGAAAAAAACAAGGTCCCATGTACATACTGACGTGCAGGTAAAAGACCCCTTGACAGTTCGATATAAGAGTAGGTTGTAATGCCGCTGGCTGGTTGAAATTTTTTCCCTCATAGCAAACTATGACATATGTCCATCGTCATTAGCCTAGTCGGAGTAGGACATTAAACCCCATTTCATTTCCATCTCCATTTGTGACTGTCCAAATGAAAATCACCATGTTAGTCTCAAAATAACCAAAGCACAGTTGACATGACATTAAACCCTGTACTATTTCACCATTGCTGATCGGTCGTATGCACAGCTGTTCTGGGTTGTAGTAGCCACATACCATTAATTGTAAGTTCATAACAATTTGCTTTGATACGATAGCCTATTTACATTATTCGAATCGATAAATTCCTGAATACATGATAGAACATAATATTAACACATGTAGATTATACACAGCGATAATTGACCTACTTTCAATTTTAAAATATAAAACATTTTTCACTAAAATCAATAAGAGACAGTGGATACGGTTGACATCTATTTATAGTAACAGGTAATATTTACAAGACAAACTGTCATGTTATATAGACAGTATCACAGTTGATAGGAGACTTTATTACTACTAATACCTGCTGATTAATAGCACATATTTTAGTTACCAATTAATATGGTTTATGTTTGTTAATACATCATTTCGCTACGATGGATTGTTGAACTAGATTTGTCATGTGATTAAAACGTGATTACGACGTGACAGCAACATAGTTTAGAGCAGTTTTCAATTTTACTTCAGTTTTATGAATAAATGTTAGAACTTGATATCGATAGGAATCCTGCAGGTTGTTGGTAATAGAACATATGTACATTTACACAAACACACAGGGGTATGTTTATGAGATAAATTTGCTTGCATCAGTCACATACCAATATATAATAAGAAAATGTCATTTTATTAAAAAACAATTAAAAATGTGAAATGCAAAATAATAGGTGATGAAGATACCACCTTTGCTTTTTGGGTAGAAGAGAAGAGTATTTTATTTTTCTTATCTTTCACTTGTGATGACTAACAATGAGACCAAATGCTGAGTTTATGTCCATTTTCAATTTCCAGTGAAATCATCACTTTATTTAGGGCTGGAAATAAAAAGTTTCAATATACAGCATGCCTTAACTAGTACCATATATATTTTAGTATACAGCATGCTCTAACTGGTACCATATATTTTAGTATACAGCATGCTTTAACTAGTACCATATATATATTTTAGTATACAGCATGCCCTAACTAGTACCATATATTTTAAATATACAGCTTTCCCTAACTAGTACCATATATTTTCAATATACAGCATGCCTTAACTAGTACCATATATATTTTAGCATACAGCTTGCCCTAACTAGTACCATATATTTTAAATATACAGCATGCCCTAACTAGTACCATATATTTTGGGGGGTTGGATGACCGAATGGTTAGCACGCACACGCTGTATCATACGGCCTGTCATTGAGTCAATTGGCGGGGTTTCGATTCCCTGGTTGTATGTGACAAGGAGTAGGGTCGCCTATCCAACCTCGTGGGTTTTCTCTGGGTCCTCCAGTTTCCTCCCACTGCTAAAGACCCCTACGCGCAAGTGAATTATGGAAATAAAATTGAACCATATGTTAGTCCCGAAATGACCTAGTTTGTGTTGAGTGGACGTTAAACCCAATTTCTCTCTCTCTCTCACCATATATTTTAAATATATAGTATGCTCTAACTAGTACAATATATTTTTGACTTTCTGTCAGATACATATTAAACATACCATTAAAAAACAGGAAAAAAGACAAATAGAGAATGTCTATTACAGGTGCTTCATTTCCAGGCATGACATTGAGAAATGACATTAGGTGTTCTAGAAAGAGTAAGCCTTCCCTGTCATGTCCTCCTGCTATCTTGGGTTTAAAGCATACTACACTGTCATGTTTATGCACCTAACTTCTACTCAAGGTGACACATGAGTCTTTACTTTAGAGGAAGATTACCCGTGTAGTGTTGTTATTAGATAAATATAAAACAGGTGTGAGTCACTGCATCTTTACCTTGTAGATATTAAAGGTGCTGTCCCACCGATTTAACCGTCATACAATAAGGTTAAAGCATTAGAAATGAACATGGGGTTTGACATCCACTCAACTAAAGCTAGGTCATTTTGGGACTGTCTTTAGCAGTGGGAGGAAACCAGAGCACCCAGAGGATACCCACAAAGTTAGTGTGGGATCGAACTCATGCCATTGTCTCAATGGCAGACCTTATGATCTATAGTGCATGTATTAGACTAGACAGACACCCAACTCCCGTACTCGAAAAGAGAAAAATTTTAGTAGAAAGAGCTGTTGATATTGGATGGTCACCAGAATGGCTCAACAAGATTACGTAACGGTCATGAAACGAAATAGAGTTTAACATCCTACTTTTTTTGCAGTAACAGATGCAGAACTGGCATCACGATCATTTTTACTTGAAATAAAATTGAGTTTTACGTTCTACTGTTCTGCACCGACTGGGCTAATGAAGACGGGCATACTCCATACAGTGTGCTATTATGGAAATTTTGCATGGACAAAGGCACTACGGCCTACTCTTATATTAAATTCCAATCGAAGCGTTCTTTTACGTGTAGGCAAATTCCAATCAAAGCGTTCTTTTGCGTGTAGGCAAATGTGCGCACAGGACCTCAGTTTTTTTGTCCCATCCAAATGACTATACATTGTCCCTTGCCATCTCCGCCGTTCTGCGACACAGACAAGGAGAAAAACCACGTCGGAAATTCCTGATGAACTTACAAGTGTAAAAGCATAACAAACCAGATCGTTCACCTATCTCAAAAGTCGAAAGTATCCACTATTTAAAAACAAAGCTTCATGAACATAAAGAATGGGCTAGCTTGTATGAAAAAAGCTGAATTAATATTATTATAGTTGTCTTAGACACATATAGGTGGTCGCATAGAAACCAAATTTCAAATACATTAGAATTGACAGATTTGATTACTTTTTGTGCGAGAAACTTTTTGTTGATAAAAGTACTTTTGATACTTGTATGGTCTTGAACTCTTTATTTGACTTTCATTTTGACACATTGGGGCTTTAAAGACTTGGTTATTTGGACACAAATATAGCGTGAAGCTAGAAAACATTGTCCCAAACCAAACATGAAAACTGACCGTTGATTTTCATCTTTTAGAGTATGACGGTGTTTTAGATATTACAAGGGAGGGGAGTTAGGTGGTGGAATGGTTAACGAGTGTGTGTTGCATCCTAAGATCTGTCATTGAGTCAAGTTGCGTGGTTTCAATTCCCCATCTTATACCTCATGGGTTTTTTAAGGGTCCTTCAGTTTCTGGTAAAGACCCCTACGCGCAAGCGAATTAACGAAATAGAATTGAACCTTATGTTAGTCCCAGAATGACCCAGTTTGTGTCAAGTGGACATTAAACTAACTCTCTCTCTCTCTCTCTCTCTCTCTCTCTCTGGGGGGTTGGATGGCCGAATGGTTAGTGGTTAGCACATGCGCGCTGTATCATACGGCCTGTCATTGAGTCAACTGGCGTGGTTTCGAATCCCCAATTGTACGTGACAAGGAGTAGGGTCGCCTGTCCAACCTCGTGGATTTTCTCCGGGTCCTCCGATTTCCTCCCACTGCTAAAGACCCCTACGCACAAGCGAATTATTGAAATAAAAATTAACCATATGTTAGTCCTGAAATGACCTAGTTTGTGTCGAGTGGACTTTAAACCCCTTTTCTCTCTCTCTCTCTCTCTCTCTCTCTCTCTCTCAGGGTTTATTCCCTAAAATAATTCAGGGATTGCTCCTTTAACTTGTTATAAAGAACTGATTATATGACCTGACAAATGACACACTGCTCTTTTGTCTTCTTATTTGACATAGGCGTAGCGTGGAAGTATTAGAAAAGTTTTGATATAGGACTCAGTAATTCTATTCTATACCTGGATTTTGAAGGGTAAATTATTAAAAATTTCTAATAAATAATATACATGTACAACCCCAATGACATTTAACAGCCTATGTTACAGTGTTAAAAAGCTCAGTTGAATAATCCCGGACATGGGGCCTACTTCATGAGAATTTTTTTTAAGGATACATATACAACCATTTCTTTGGTTGAGTGTTCAAATCCTATTACAAATGTTAGCTCTAGTTCAATAAATGGGATGTGTTCTTAAAATAGCTTGGTTAAAGTTTTTTTTGTGATACTGATCCATGATTAACCATAATTCTGAAGCAGTGGTTATGAACATCATCATCTCATTGACCATTACTATACTTACTATATTTCCTGAGGTATTTCCAGCCGAATTTCCTCTTGTCAGTGGTGCAGGTCGAAGTGACTGGCAAGCAAAGTGTTTAGTTGTTTGGATAGAACAATAAAGCGAGGTCCCCTATATGTACATAATGGGCACCACATTAATGATTCTCAATCAGTTGGAAATTTTGTAATAGGATTAAAATTTCCCCTCATCTCCTGTCTTCATTAGCCCCAGTGGTGTAGATTAGTAAGATGTTAAACCCCATTTCATTTCTTGTTTGTGTATTTCTCTGTCCATATTTCTTGTTTGTGTATTTCACTGTCCATGTTGCTTGTTTGTGTATTTCACTGTCCATATTGCTTGTTTGTGTATTTCACTGTCCATATTTCTTGTTTGTGTATTACACTGTCCATGTTTCTTGTTTGTGTATTTCACTGCCCATATTTCTTGTTTGTGTATTTCACTGTCCATATTTCTTGTTTGTGTATTTCTCTGTCCATATTTCTTGTTTGTGTATTTCTCTGTCCATATTTCTTGTTTGTGTATTTCACTGTCCATGTTGCTTGTTTGTGTATTTCACTGTCCATATTGCTTGTTTGTGTATTTCACTGTCCATATTTCTTGTTTGTGTATTTCACTGCCCATATTTCTTGTTTGTGTATTTCACTGTCCATATTTCTTGTTTGTGTATTTCACTGCCCATATTTCTTGTTTGTGTATTTCACTGTCCATATTTCTTGTTTGTGTATTTCACTGTCCATATTTCTTGTTTGTGTATTTCACTGTCCATATTTCTTGTTTGTGTATTTCACTGTCCATGTTACTTGGTTTTGTATTTCACTGCCCATATTTCTTTAATATTTTACACTGCCCATATTTCTTTTTGTGTATTTCACTGTCTATATTGCTTGTTTGTGTATTTCACTGCCCATATTTCTTGTTTGTGTATATCACAGCTCATATTTCTTGTTTGTGTATTTCACTATCCATATTGCTTGTTTGTATATTTAGAAAATTTATATTGTGTATTTATTCTTGTGGAATATCCAATTTAAATATCTAATGGCCTCTTATATTATGATAGTTTTAAGTATTTGTATAATTTGATTTCCATGTTTTGTTATTGTGTTTATAGGTGCAGTCTATATATGTACAGAAGATGCATTTCCTAATAAACGTCTACAACAGCTCATCAGCCATTACAACGAGAAATATTCAGGTTTAAAGGAAAGAATACAATTCAGTGACAATATTTATATAGAACACATATCAGATTATGTAAGTATTGATAACATAAACAGTAATTTAAACCGCGGATGGGTCATGAAGATCAGTGGATTCATTCTTATAACTATCAGAAATTATAAAAATTATGAGAGAGAAAGAGAGAAATGGGGTTTAACGTCCACTCGACACAAACTAGGTTATTCCGGGACTAACGTATGGTTTAATTTTATTTCAATAATTCGCTTGCGCGTAGGTGTCTTTAGCAGCGGGAGGAAACCGTAGGACCCGGAGAAAACCCACGAGGTTGGACAGGTGACCCTACTCCTTGTCACGTACAATCAGAGATTCGAAACCACGCCAGTTGACTCAATGATAGGCCTATTCAGCCATCTAACCCCCTATAAAAATTAAGAACAAAAAAAAGGGAAATTATATGTATTATATGTATCTATATGTAATTTATAATCTAGTATTTAGGAACAACGACTATTGGCCAAATAGTGTAACACATGCGCTTTAGATCATAAGACCTGTCATTGATTCAAGTGGCATGGTTTCGATCTCACACTTGTACCTGACAAGGAGTAGGGTCGCCAGCCTAACCTCATGGATTTTCTCCAGGTCCTCCAGTCTCCTCCCACTTATAAAGACCCCTACGCACAAACAAATTATTGAAATAAAATTGTTCCATATATTTGTCCCAAAATGACCTAGTTTGTGTTGATTGGACTCGAAATTAACTAAAAGATAAAAACTCCCCGAAAAAATATAATTAAAAACAAGAATGTTTCGTCCCACTGCCAAAGATCCCTATGCTCAAGCAAATAATTGAAATAAAATTGAACCATATGTTAGTCCCAAAATGACCTAGTTTGTGTCAAGTCTCTCTCTCTCTCTCTCTCTCTCTTTATTGCATAAACTTTTTTTTCTATAAAACAATGTAGATATTGATGCCAAACTTTAGTTGAGTTAATATCAATTGTAATTTATACCCTGACCTTTTATAACCTTCATGTATCTTCATTCTATTACATTGGTAATTATTGATATCGGTGTGCTTGATTGATAACTTTTCTTTGCTTTAAATGTCGGATGGCGAAGTGATTATCTTCATTATAAAAATTCAACATCTACACATGTTATGGCACATTCTTTTTTTTTAAAGGGACTTTAGTTGGCCGGGTTAAATTTTGTTACCCATTGAAATTATTTGACTTAATTAAATTTCTTCACATAAAAATCATAATTCCACACGTTATGGCCCTTTTTTGTTTATTCTTTTTTTTTTTTAAAGCCTGTTTAAATTGTTATGTAAAGAAAATATTCATCGCTCTATTATGGTCATGGGAAGTCATCTATTCTAAAGGGACTTTCCCTGTTATCTCTATTTATAGCCAGAAGCCAGAGACTGGCTAAGCTACTTCTGTTCAGCTTTTATGGTCATGAGAAGTCATCTGTTCTAAGGGACTTTCCCCTTACCTCTTTTTATAACCATAAACCAGAGATTTGGTTTCTTGTATTCAGCTGTTATGGTCGAGAGAAGTCGTCTATGTTAAAAGGACTTTACTCACTGCTGTAGCCCAGAGACTAAGCCTCTTGTATTAAGCTATTGTGATTATGGGAAATCTTTTTTTAAAAGGGACTCTCCACTTATCTCTTTTTATATCCGTAAACCAGAGACTAAGCTTGTTGTATTCAACTATTATAAAAATACTAATATTTTTCGTGTTAAATCTATTTTGTTATAAAAAGAAATTATTGATATTGATTAAAACATTATATAACCATGAGCCAGAGACTAGACTTCCTCATGTTTTGTGGTAGAAATGAAATGAAATGAGGTTGAACATCCTACTGTTCTGCTACAAGTGGGCAATATGGCCTACTCTTATATTGAATTCCAACTGCTAAGGGATGTTTTACGTGTACACCAATGTATACATGGACCTTTTTTTATGCGTCCCATCTGAATGGCTGGACACCAAAGATAAGGGGAAACCACGCCGAAAAATCCAGGCCAATGCATGGATTGAATATGAGACCTCTAGGCCAGCGTCTTACCCACTTAGCCACTGTGGCTCCCGTTTTATGGTAGAGGATGGCTTCAAGTTTGTTTTAAGCGTTCAGTAGACCATGATTTTACACTGTTGACATTTTCATAAATTAGATAGAAATGTATGTATATATTTTTGCACTACAGTATATAAAAATTATCTTTGATTTTACAAAATCTAGATCATGTTTCTGATAAATACTGCTGTCAAAAAATATTTGTCATCATATATTTAGTAACCTGTTATATCACCCATTCAGACAAGGCCTCTTTTGCTTGTCACAATTGAGGATCTTGTAATGAAGAAACATTTACAATGAAATGAAATATTGTGACTTTGGCTTCCTAAACTATCAAAAACTACTTGGAAAAGGGACATATTTATTAAATATTTTGTTATTTTGATTAGATACATTTATAAAACAGGAGACTTGAATTTTTTTTTGAAGGGGGACACACTTCTCTCATCCTCCCTCCCTTGAATCCAGCCCTGAAATTAGTCATCTATAATAATAAAGGAACTCTAAGAAAAAAACGCAAACAAATTGTGTTGGATTTCCTTTATAGACAGTATGATATAATTTAAATTAAAGACCATTATATAAGAACTAAATCTGCCTATATTGGTTTCAAAGTTCAAATGTTAAATAAATTATTATTTAGACATTTATTCACGTGACAAGCCTATAACCAGCTCTCTAGATCATCGGATGGCCATGGTTTACATGGATTAGAACACCTACAAGATTTAAAAATTTAACAATAAAAGGGATAATCAAGACTGTCAAATACCGTTGCCATGATAATAAACAATATATGCTACATCTTTAAACTGTCATAACTTCACTCACAATGAACTAATTTTGAATGCAATTTTTAATATATTCATTTTACATTACCTATTTTTAAACTATTATAACAAGAACGTCTAGCTCTTTATCTAAATCTTACATAATGTTTCTGTAGCTGTTCAATAGGTTGAAATAATATCTTGATTTATTGCAGCGATAATGTCCATGACTCCATTTCTAGCCATAATTATCATCTTGCCATTTCCTAACAGTTCAAATTATTATCAACAAGAAACCTCTTTATTACAGGATGGTTTGACTTATTGTATACACAAGAAATTACCTGTGTTATTAGCTCAGGGTTTGATTCAACTGGTAATTGTTGATTCTGTAGCGGCTCTGTTTCGTTGTGATTACGAGAATCATGAAATGATAAAGAGAGCGAAACACATGAACACGTTTGCTGGTAAACTTCGTGGTTTTAGTCAACAGTATAATATACCTATTGTTTGTGTGAACCAGGTAAGCGTATAGAAATTAAAAAAAAAAATGGAGTTTTAATGAAATGAAATGGGGTTTAACGTCCTACTGTTCTGCTCCGAACTGGGCTAATAAAGACAGACATACACCAAACAGTGTGCTATGAGGGAAATTTTGCCCGGACAGCGGCACTACAGCCTACTCCTATATCGAATTCCAACTGTCAAGGGATCTTTTACATGCACGCCAATGTGTACACAGGACCTCGTTTTTTTGTCTCATCCAAACGACTAGACAGCTGTCCTTTTCAGGTACTCCATCCAGCATCACTAACAAGGGGAAACCACGCCGGAAAATCCTGATAAACTCAAAATATCCTAAGTAACAGTGTTGATAATGTATTTCATTTTATTGTTTCATCTTTGTAACTGTCATAGAAATTGTACATAATGAATGAATGAATTGTGATTTATGCCCAAAATCAAATATTGTTTAAATTAAATGCCAACTCCATATTTCATTAAAATTGTAAATTTATACCCAAAATAAAATATTGTTGAAAGGATATTAAAATTGTGACCAAACTCCACATTTCATTAAAATTAGAAATACCCATATTATTATACACAGGATAAACCATTGTTTACATTGTTTTTCTTTGGGATCCCCCTACTGCTAAAAACTTCAGTATGCAAGCAAATTATTAAAATACAGATATACCATATGTTAGGCCCAAAATCACCTAGTTTGTGTTAATGGACGTTAAACCCTATTTCTGTCTCTCTTCGGAGATAATACAGGTAGATAATACAGGTGTTTATGCCAAAATTGTTCACAATTGTAATTGAGTGACATGGTTTCAATTTCTATCAGTCCTTTCAATAGTAAATTATAGTAGGCCTATAGTGGATTGTAAAATAGAAATATTAATAAATGTAAGTAATTTGTTATAAAAATATTGATTATTAAATGTATTTGTCATCAGGTATTAGTAATACTATGATTAATACCTGATAACATCTGTGGAATGTACCTGGAGTAATTCTACTGTTTCTTTTGTTTGTTATTAATACGTATTGTATCTGTGGCTCAGTGAGTACAGTGCTGGCTGATTAATCTCTAGAGATCCCAGCCCAGGTAGTAAGCTTGAGTATTCTGTGTGATGATAAATGAATCATCCCAGACCCTAATCTTAAATCAGTGAATCCATAGTACGGTAGTTAATTAGTCGAAAATATGGTCCTGAAATTATGAAATACTTTTCTTTCTAGCAGGGCTTCCTTTTAATATCTCAGGGAAAGATAGTAAGCCTTGAAATCTGCTGTAATGATACATCAGGCCCTAATCTCAAATCATTGAATCCATATTACGGCAGTTAATTAGTCGAAAATATGATCCCTAAATTATGAAATACTTTTCTTTCTAGCAGGGTTCCTTTCAATATCTCCGAGTTAGATAGTAAGCCTCTAAATCCGCTGTAATGATACATCAGACCCTAATCTCAAATCAGTGAATCCATAGTACGGCAGTTAAATAGTTGAAAATATGATCCCTAAATTATGAAATATTTTTTTCCCTCCCACAATATTTCCTCTCAATACCTCTAACCAGGAGGTCTCGGGTTCGCTCTTGGTGTTGCTCGAGAAAGTTCCTTGAGATTTTCTAGGAGTTCAGATGGCTTTGGAATGTAAATGGAAAACGTATACTGTTTGTTTGTCATCAATTTATAATGTGGCTCAGTGAGTTAAGGTGCTGGCTCACTAATCTGGAGAACCTAGTGAAAGTTCAGAGACCCTAGTGAAAGTTCCTTGAGATTTTCCAGTCTGGTTTCTCCTTGTCAATGGTGCAGGATGGAGAGCCTGGCAAGGAATGTAAGTTTAGTCATTCAGCTGGCATAATAAGTTTGTGCTCATGATCACAGTAACTACTTAAAAAAAACCACAATGCCATTTGGTCGGTGTGAAAATGTCTTTAATTAAATTGATAAATATGTCTTTTATTAAAGGGGCATTATGTAAAATTTAGATAAAGAGATCGCCGTTCTTGATGTAATATTTCAAAAATAGATAATGCAAAATGAATACATTGTATATTGAAAATTTCATTCAAATTACTTTATTTTGAGGAAAGTTATCAATGTTTGTAGTTTTGACAAGATGTGTGCATTTATCGTAACCACTGTACTGGTTATTCAAGTCTTAGCCTCCCTTCTCGATTTTTAAATTAAATCATTAAATGGTCAAACTGTTCTAATCTAGTTCAAAATTTGAGCCATCCGATAGCATCGAGAGGTGATTATGGTCTTGTCATGGTAATAAATGTCTAATTAATAATTGATGTAACAATTATGGCCCAATTAAAGACCTGCAATAGGCAGATTTAGCTCTTACATAATGAATGTTTAAATTGATATAAATAACGATGTTAAAATCAAAGGTAAATTACAAATATAAAAACAGAGACATGAATATACAATAACAAGATAACTATTCTGATTCATTTAAACTCAAATAAATGACCTAATTTTTCTTGAAGTAATATACCTTAAAAGGAAGCCACAATTCTTTTTGTAGCATTTTAGATAAGCTAAAAGATAACCATGACTTTTTATATTTTACTCTTTGTTTACCAAAGATATAAATCAGAAATCAATTTGTCAAACAGTATTGATCAGAATGACACAAAAAATAAAAAAATGAAAAATTAATCAATGTAATATTGAATACATGAAAAGACTATCTACAGGGTAGATTGGTCAGATTTAAAAAATGACTGAAAGGTGGTTTTCGTTATTCAATATCTCCATGGTAATATTAAAAAGATATTAATAAGCTATATAATCTTGCCTGCCGTGACATAGTCTTCCAGATAATTGGACTTTTTTCCCCAAATCAATATAAACTCTATGTTTGATCCGTCTAAATATGCTTAAAGGCTTGAGGTTGACATGGAGGATTTTTGCGATTCATACAAAAGCAGAGATCTTCAGAATCTATTCACAGCATATCATAAGCTGCTTTTCTCTGCACAATGGTGTTCATTATCAGAACAAATATTATAGTTGCTTCAATTTGCTAGAGCTGTTGTTCAGGGTTTTTGTAGCACCTTGACAGATAACAATGTGTATATTTTGGACCTGAATCTGTTATTATCACCACTTTGTTTATAAATCTGTTGATAGTCGCTCATTAGTCTGTATTGATGTGTGGGATTATATTATATCTTTCACAGTTTGTGATATTTATACAGAGTGGGAGGGGGTGGATGGCTGAATGGTTAGCACTGGTGTGCTGTCATTGAGTCAACTGACGTGGTTTCCATTCCCCGGTTGTACGTGACAAGCAGTAGGGTTGCCTGTCCAACCTCGTGGGTTTTCTCCGGGTCCTCTGGTTTCCTCACACTGCTAAAGACCCTTACACACAAGCAAATTATTGAAATAGAATTGAACCAGTCTCAAAATGACCTAGTTTGTGTCAAGTGGATGTTAAACCCACCGATATTTGTATACTGTATAATAAATACAAGGCATATGTCATTATTTATAACTAAAAAAAAAGATGAGATTTTAATCGAGATTGACAAATGCTTTTTGTCCAAAAGTTTCAAGTTTCCACTTTGGTATCACTAGCTGATTGAGATTATTTGAACACAACTGTCTTTTAGGATTATACTGTTGAATTAATTCACAGAGATTATCAGGAGCTTCTCCACATGTATTAATTGTAATGATTACATTTATTATCTCACAAAATTCTATAAATCTTAAAGATTGTCTCTTGGATCCTAGCTGCGCCTCTAACCCCCCCCCCCCCCTCCACGTAACCACAAAGTGACCAAATTTAAAAAATGTCCTTCCAGAAAAATTGTATAAAATAAGAATGATCTTCCAGAAATAATTATAAGTGTTCTCCCCAAATATTAACAAAAGATGAAATTATTTATCGATAGAAATGTCCTTCAAGAAAGATTAATGAATGATAATAATTTCCTCACTAAATATTTAAAGAAGATAAGAATTTTCTCCCTGGAAAAATTTGCAAAAGATAAAAAATGTCCTCCCTTGAAATTTGATATAAGATATGGTAATATCTTCCTCAAAAAATTGTCTTATACAAAAATAATATAGAATTTATTTGCTAAAAATTAACTAACAGATAAGAATTTTCTCCCGAAAAATAAAATTAAAAACAAGAATGTTTCGTCTCACTGCTAAAGATCTCTACACTCAAGCGAATTATTGAAATAAAGTTGAACCATATGTTAGTCCCAAAATGACCTAGTTTGTGTCGAGTTGACATTAAACCCACTGTCTATATCACTATCTGTCTGTAAACTAATTTTGTTTATTTCAGGTGAGTGATTGCTTTGACAAGTCCAGTACAAGAAAAGTTCTGCCTGCATTAGGCTTAACCTGGTCTAACCAAGTCACATCAAGGTTTATGTTAGCTAAAACAAGCTGCCCAATTCAGCTAGAAAATTCAATTCCCAATAAAAGTGTGGACGGAAGCGTGCGGAAGTTTGAAGTGGTATTTGCCCCCAACATACCACAACTCGTCTTCCCGTTTATAGTGGACAAATATGGTATACATGGTCTGAAATAAGGCCTGATGACTGATAACCTTTTGAACGGTGAACGGTCACTTTTTATTGTTTATTTATGGCAAACATATTCCTGGTTAATGTGTAGATCTCTATAGATATACATGGATGGTCATCTATTATTATTTATATTATCAAATATCAACCATTAATGGCATGATTGTTATAGTTATTAATATATGACAATAATGTTATCCAGTCCATAAAAAATAATTTTATTTTTATCACTGAGTTATTTAAAGCTACTGTGACAGCTGATTTGTATACTTTGTATCATATTGGACATGATATTATTTATTTTTTTAATATAAACAAAATAAAGCCATTAATTAAATACTTTTAGAATATTGAATGTATATTATTGATGTAAAGGGTTGGATGGCCGAATGGTTAGTATGTGCGCGCTGTATCATAAGGTCTGTCATTGAGTCAGCTGGCGTGGTTTCGATTCCCCAGTTTTACATGACAAGGGTTGCCTGTCCAACCTCGTGGGTTTCCTCCCACTGCTAAAGACCTCTATGCGCAAGCGAATTATTGAAATAAAATTCAACCCACGTTAGTTCCGAAATGACCTAGTTGTGTCACGTGGACCTTAAACTCCATTTCTCTCTCTTTAGTCTCTCCCCGTCTTTGATAGCCTTTTTCAGCCCTTTTGTTAAAAGTACCCAGGACATTGTGGAAATTGTAAGATTAAAAGTAAAGGTACATAGAATGATCTCTGATATTTGGTTCTCACATGCTTTTAAAGAACAAGAGCAAAACTACTGTTGCAATATACATCGGCCAATGCAGGTTTGAACATGTGACTTTCAGGCTAGCAAGCCAGCGTCTTACCCACTTAGCCACCGTGGCTTCCGATTACTACAAGTGTATATATATATAAAATATTATAATAATCCTATAATCCCACTACTACTCCCTTCCAAAACCTGCATTTCATTGTCCCAATAAATCCCCTTTACATCAATAGAGAAAGAGAGAGAAATGGGGTTTAAGGACCAATTGACACAAACTAGGCCATTTCGGGACTAACATGGTTCAATTTTATTTCAATAATTCGCTTGCGCATAGGGGTCTTTAGCAGTGGGAGGAAACTGGAGAACCCGGAGAAAACCCACGAGGTTGGACAGACGACCCTACTCATTCTCACATTCAACCGGGGAATCGAAACCACGCCAGTTGACTCAATGACAGACCTTATGATACAACGCCCACATGCTAACCATTCTGCCAATTACCCCACCTGGGGAGAGACAAAAGGAAACATCTATGGACATTACCTTGCTTCGATTTGCTTTGTTTATTAAGCACTTGTAACAAAAGGCACAGAAGGGCTATCAAGGAAGGTTTTGGTTATTTCCAGGGTCATTGGGGAGATCAGGTCGGGTTGGGAAAGTTAGAAATTCCCATACTGTGGGTTAGCCGGACACAACATGGTCATTTCCATTTGTAAAATTCATCGGGAATTCTGGGTCAGGGCAAGGGTTGCCCTTTGGGTGTCTTAACGTGGCGCACAGGAATTTCTGTTCTACCCAACCAGACTAAAAATAGACTCATCCCCCAGAGAAGGGGGAGCAATAGCAGTAAAATTACAAGCCCAAACATTAAAGGTCATTTACCGTTCTCCATTCATCAATAGGCTGTATGTTGTCTAAATGATATATTATTAAATGACAAAAGTCTATACTTATTGAAGTGTGATCTGCCTGACTGACCACAGTAGATGGACGACCCACCCACCTTTCATTTATTTGTTGTCTCGTAGAAGATATGTCATTGTGAATCATAAACACTGCCCAATCTGTTTCTCAATGTTCAGTTTCTGCTTGATTTCACTACAAGTATAGACGTCCATCATTAGTTTAAGTCATTAATGGACATTTGAGACCAGACCATTGTAACGAACGACCATGCCTCATTTATACCTTGATATCCCTCAAGTTTATTTAAAGTACATTTTGTGATCCACGTGTTGATCTGTGGTTATTACTCTACAGGCAGGCATTTAAAAAATGAACTGAAATGGGGTATAACATCCTACTTTTTTGCCAGCATGGACCTTATTCATTAAAACTAAAATATTTAAAGATACATTATGGGAGATAAGATAAAGAAATGGCAGTTCTCGCTATAATAGTTAAAAACTAGATAGTGTAAAGGTAATTTTCTGAAAATTTCAGTCAAATTGATCCACTATGAGCCGAGAAAAAAGCGGGTGAAATTTTTGCATAGTCTCGGTCATCATTACTAAAATCATTAATATAAACAGCATAGTCTTGATTATCTACTTTTTCTGATTTAATTATCTTTGGCCGTTAGCGGCATACAGGAATCTAATCCAGCCAACATCGAAGGCTAGCCTTGACATCAAGAGTTTATTATGGTCTGGATAAGTTAATTAATGTCTAATTGATAATTCAGATAACATTTCAGGCCTAAAGAAAGACTTGTAATAAGCAGATTTTGCTCTTGCATAATGCATGTTTAAGGATTAAACCTTTTCATTGGCTTAAATCGGGGTTTTATTTAACTCTTATCCAATGAGCCATTGTGGCTCACTGAGTAAGGTACTGGCTAACTAACCGGGAGGTCCCTGGGTTTGATCCTGGTGTTGGTCGAGAAAATTCCTCCGGATTTTGCTAGCCTGGTCTCCCCCTTGTCAGTGGTGCAGAAAAGAGGGTGTGTCAAGGAACAGTATCTAGTTGTTTGGATGGACTGATAAACTGAGGTAAAAGAACTTTGAATTCAACGAAAAATAGGCGGAAACGCTGCTGTCCGGGCAAAATTTGCATGGTGTATGGCAGGGATCGTAATTGGCTATTTTTTGTCGGCTTTAGCCGCTTGAAGTTCAATAAAGCCGATTGGTAAAACAATGAACCGGCTACTATAGTATCATAAATCAATTTAGTTTTGGCTAAATTACAACAGGTTAATTATTACTTGTTAATTAAGTAGTCAATCAACTTGCTTGTCTGGTACAAGAACAGTCATACCTAAGTGAAAATCGGCCATGTAGTTCATAATCCAAGTAATTAGCACAAGTAACCGTAATTTTGATAATCTTCATTCGCCTGGTTGGTGCAAACAAGTAGGATGTTAAACCCCATTCCTTATCCACTGAAAGTTCTGTATCCTTAAAATATTTGAGCTTTGGTGAAGAATCTGCCAGGTGTGTGCCTGTCACTTTGAAAACTCAATTCCAAATGAAAAAGCAATAAACACTGTTCAGATTTCTTTCACATATATCTGATAAATAGGATTTTGTTCACAAATTACAAATGATATTTTTCTTAAAAAAAACATTAATATACACATTCATAGAAGAACGTCTTCAAATGGACTATATTTATAGATGTATTCAGTTCAGTGGCTTTGTACATAAACAATATACATAAATGATAAAAGTAAATAAAATAAACACATAATACCAATTGTTATTAACAGAATGAAACATAAGTTTTTAGATTTTTCTTGAATATTGTATATCACATTATATGGTATTGTTACAGAACTTTGTAGAGTTTCCTTAAAGACACTGCATTACACACATACATAAATGATAGAAGTAAATGAAATAAACACACAATACCATTTGGTAATAACAGAATGTTATTTAAAACATAAGTTTTTATCGTTTTCTTGAAAACTGTGTTGGGGAATGGGTGGCTGAATGGTTTAATGTGTGCACCTTAGAACAGAAGGTCAAATGGCATCATTTCAATTTCCCGCTTGTATGTGACAACATACAACATGTGGCTATTCTCCGGGTCCTTCGGTTTCTTTGTACAACTAAAGACCCCTACACGCAAATAAATTATTGAAATGAAATTGAACCACTTGTTAGTCCCGAAATAACCTAGTTTGTGTCGAGTACAACTAATAACCCTTACCCGCAAGTGAATTATTGATTAAATTGAACCATTTGTTAGTCCCGAAATGACCTAGTTTGTTCAGTTAAACTCCATTTCTCTCTCTCTCTCTAACATGTTACTCATAGACTAGTTTGTGTCCAGTGGATGTTAAACCCCATCTCTCTCTCTATCTCTCTGTATATGAAAACTGTGTATTACATTATGTGCTGTGAGGTATATTTACATATTTAACGTAATAAACATTATAAACCTTTTTTATGTGATGTTATGAATATAAACTTATGAATCACCATAATAAACTGGTTCTGTTTTTATCTGATCTATTTAATCATGTCATGTATCAAATAATATGTCAACATTTGATCCAGTCTATCCAGGCATAATTTGATATCTGTAATGGCAACCTTTTATGGTGGGGGGAAGGGGGTGCATCTAAATATAAAACCACTGGTTTAATGGTTTATTATATGCACAGTTGTTTATCAATTTTATTTAAATGTTGAAATTAAATGAAATTGAGTTTTAACGTCATACTGTTCTCAGCCAACTCGCCTTATGACGAAGTGAAAACACCCCGCAGTTTGCCATGAGGGCAATTTTGCCCGGACAGCAGCGTTTGCGTCTATTCCAATGGCAGAGCGTTCTTTTACTTGCACGACAACATGTTCACAGGACCTCTGTTTTATCATTCCATCCGAAAAACTAGACACTGTTCCTTGCAAAACTGTAGGACATAATTAAACCCCATTTCATTTATGTAACCTGTCATGAGAGGAAAAATACAATCCATAAAATATAAGGGCCTACAAATTTGATTTCATGCTATGTGTTAGAAAGGTTATTTATTTGAATAAACGACATTTCATAAAATAAAAAAAACCTAATCAATCATCTTAATCTGATATCCTTGTCACTCACAAGTTTTATTATACAATATGTAAATTTCATATTGCTTAAACATGCATTATGGAAGAGGCCAGAGCAGGTCTTTCTTAAGGCCTTAAATGTTATCTAAATTATTAATTAGACATTAATTAACTTACAAGACCATAATCAACTTACAATGCCATTGGATGCCTGCGATATTTAGTGAATTTGAATACGTTTTGTAGTGGATGAAATAACCAAAATGGATAATCAAGACTTTGTTTATTATAGTAACAACCGTAGTAATGACGATCAAGGCTACCCTAAAATTAAATCGCTAATATCTAGATTCAGAGTGAAGTAATTTGACTGAAATTTTCAGCATATTTTCTTTTCTATTTTTTAACTATTATAGTGAGAACTGTTAGCTCTTTGTTTAATCTTACCTAAGGCCACTTTAATAGAACATGTATTTAAATTACTGGGTGAACAGGAAATACAATGTTTGATTCCCTGCGTCGCCTGTCCAACCTTGTGGGTTTTCTTCGGGTCCTCCAGTTTCCTCCCACTGCTAAAGACCCCCTACGCGCCAGTGAATTAATTAAATGAAATTAAACCATGTGTTAGTCCCAAAATGACCTGGTTTGTGTCCAGTGGAATTAAACCCCATTCCCTCCCTC